GAGKTGCAGAGAAGAGCATATTTAAAGTAATAAATTTGGAATATTTGGAAACTTGAGAAAAAGGTGTATTAAGAGGTAGCCCAAGATGCAGGTTAGATCTTGATTAAACCAAACCAGGCTATTCACCCTGACGAATGTGTTGACCAGGGCTATTTTTTTGGCACTATGTTAGTTCCTTCCCCACCCTAGTTTCTTGGAAGTCACTCCGCTCTGGCTTTTTGAAGAGAGACGGATAATTGATGTCTTGCAGACTGGAAAAAGCTTATCATCCTGCATTATTTGTTCCAACCAGGATCCTATCACTACTGTGAAATCTATTTTTGCAAGTTTAAAAGCCACTCGGAGGAGCCACCTGGCAATGCTGCCTGGGGCTGCCGACAGCCCCATCCAGACCGTTTGTCACAGAGCCTTGGGAGCGGCGCCGAGGGAGCCGCGGCGCATCCCCAGCTGCCGGGCCCGAGTGCGGGAAGCCTCCCGGCRCCTCCGTGCTCTCCCGCCTGGCCCAGGCGCCTCGTCCCGGGAAAGCCACGGTGCTCTCCCGCACATGGAGACCTGCCAGGCAGGAGCGGTGATGCAGAGACGGAGCCTGCGAGGCCTTCCTGGGGCAGAGCCCTTGGGAAGCACCATGGATCCGTGGATCTGTGCTCCCCTTGAGGGCCATCTCCAGAGTTGCTCTCTCCGGAGATGCTCTGCTCCTGCGGGGTGACACTTGCAAATTTTTCACATGCCAGTGCTTCAGGCTGTTGGCAAGAGCCAACCTTTCTGAAAGTACTTTGGGGCTGCTTTGTCCTTCCCTCTGGGTATTTGCTACACAGCCATGTGTGTTTTGAAAAGCAGTTGCATGTGTTTCCAGAGACCGCTTTTCCCCCTAAACCACCTTTTTATTTTTCTAGTCAAAGCTGCTACTTCTGGACAGCTGGTCTTGAATGTGCATGGTGAAAACGTACCTGAGTGGTGGCCCTGTGACATAGGAGGAGATTAATTCACTGCTGGCATTTCAAGGAAAACTAATTAAATAAATAAAACATGTGAAAGGGCTGTCTGTGTTTCTCCCCACAGCCTCACTGAGGTCCAAGGGCTGCTGGAGAAGCGAGCCAAGGGGAGGCACATGCTGGGAATGTTTTGCCAAGAGGAGCCATCCCACTCCCTGCATTGCTGTGGGACTGGCCAAGGTGTCAGCGGGAGCCCGAGGCCCAACAGGGGCCGGAAAGGGAGAACATCCTGGAAAGYAAGAGCCCAAGAAGCTGCCGTGGGGCCAGGAACCGGGCACGTGTTGGAGCATCAGGGTGGCAGGGCCACCGAGGCTGCTGGTGCTGCTTGGTCTCCTTCAGCACGGATCGGTGGGGAGTGTTCGTGAAGCAGCAGGTGTGGGTTATCTCTGTGTGTAGTACAAAGGGGTTATCACTGTAAACAGAGTTATTTCTACCTGGAGGAACAGCAAATGTTTAATTACAGATTCATCCCTTGCCTGGACCAGAGCAGGTTTTATTTTTATTTATTTATTTTTAATCATTTTACTTTGTTGCCTCTTGAAATGGTGGCCTGCAGTTTTACCTAATAACCTCACTAATAACCCACTTTCCCAGTGTCTATATGAACAAGATAATAAGGGTCACCTTTCTCACTGAACAGGGTTTTTGCTCGTGGAGAAGGTGGAAAGCAGCTTTTATCTAGCAGTTATTGCTTTTTAGYTCGTATCTCATTATCTGACATAATCAGATCCATGAGCTTCACTCAGTCTCAAACGACTGATTTCCAAATAGAAGCTTATGGCTGTCAAAGCACCTTGTCAACAGGGGACAGGTAATTGCTGCTGCTCAGGTGGCCAAGGCTACAAGGGATGTTGCTCTCAGGTAGAGATGGTGCCAGGTTTTATTCTCCTTCACCAGTCACAGTCCCACAGCTAAAMGCAGAAATCTTTCAGGTCAGTTCTTTCCTTTCCTCCAGGTCACCAGGAGCTATTCTTCTAAGCATGGAACCTTCTCAGTATTTTATTACAGTAAAAAATGAATTCAAAATCCTACCATTTTAATGTCATATCACTTTAGATTCAGTTCAGGCCATTTCCAATAATATTGATCATTTGGAACTCAAGAATGGGGGAACAATTCCTCCACTGCTTTTTATTTCTGACTCCAAARTCTCAGAATGCACATGGCGCCTTTGTGGGCCACCTATTCCTTAACAGTGGCAAGGAGGGGATTGATGAGCAGCAAAGATTTATGCGCGTKGGATTCTATTCAAGAAACTGGTAATAAAAGAGCAAAGGCTAAAGTATATTATTAATTTGGACCAAAAAATGTGCATAGCATCAAACCACCAGAACAATGATGAGTAGGAACCAGGTGGACCTTATTAGAGAGCGAGGAAGGGAATGTTTCTTCTTTCTAATCTCTGCCAAGAAACATGCGTGTTCCAGCTTTTGCATAAAATGATAGATGGGGGCTTTAAAGCCCAAATCTCTTTGGTTTTATTTCTCCTCCCTTTGGGACATGGGTGCTGTGGATAGTCATTATTCATGCTGGAAACATTTGCCACAGGAAGCTCCTAGAACAGAGTTTGGAAAGCCATGAAAGCGCTAAGGGCATCTGAAAACATCAATGCTGTCCCAGCACTTGCTGAATCAAATTATAAAGTGCCAAGACAAATTAATGTTTGCCTCTGAGTCATTCCCAGTTTTACAGAGTCCAAGGTTTTCAAAACTTACCAGGAAAATCCTCTCTCCATGAAAAAGAAACCCCATTCTGGTGGCAGCAGTTTCCGAAATCTGGAACTGTGTTTAGAGAAGACCTGCTTCATTCTCCAGTAAATTCCTTTCCATTGATCCTTGCCCAGTGAAATAACTGGAATATCTGCATTTTTTTCTAATATCTGCCTTTTTTTCTGATCAGTAGTTTTTGTAGTCATAAAGCATAAGCTAACGATCCTCTTCTGCAAGACTATTTGTGAGCTAATTAATATTTATAGACTGAAGCAAGGCTCAAAAGCTAGTCTAGGATCAGTGTTGTTAGTGATCCTGAACATCTGGCTTGAGAATTTAAGATCTTACTGAAAATGAATGAAGATTCCTGATGTTCAAAAAAAAAAGGTGTGGGAAAGAAATATGACAAAAATATGACAAATATGACTGCCCTGTGATCTGGGCAATCGTGCTCAGGCTGCGCATTTCTCACACCCTCCACTGACATCCCTGGCCAGCGTCTGCTCCGCCTCGGATGTGACTTGAGCCGGTGTCTCCCATGGGAAGGACTGGGATGTAAAGCAGACAGCGCTTTCTCCCCAGTGTGCAGCTAGCATACATTAGTCATCTGTTCCCGCATCTGCAAGGGCTTCAACAGCCTTCAAACCTCTAATATCCCTTCTGTGGCTCATGCTAAATGCAAAGCSAGGCAGAGAGGCAGCCGGAGCCCCTTTGCAGATCCCTGCTGCTTGAGCCTTTTTCTCCTTCCCTGGGATCAAAAAGAGGGTTTTCTGTGACTTGCTGAGGCTAAGCATGAGGCCTGACCATTCTCCCATGGTCATGCTCTGCTGCGGAGCCTTCTCCTGTGCTCAGGGCTTTTTACATTGCCGAATAACTCAGCTCCTTGTTTCACTCCTGGGGCTCAGCCCCCTGGTTGCTTTTCTTCACAGGGTGTCTTTTGGAGTGCACTATTTTTTTCCCCCCAGAATGACACCTAGATGAGATTCGTGGATTGTTAGCTTCAGAGATTCCCTTCTGGATTGATGGGTKCTCCAACACCATGCCAGCACACCAGGCCCCTGGTGCTCCCTCTGCCCTATGATCCTGCTCAGGGGCACACAGCCATGCTCTGAAGAAAAGAAAAACACTGTACCTGCAGCACAAACCTCACATTTCCTCAGACACATTGAACAGAAAATAAGAAAATAAACACAGCAAAAAAAAAAAAAAAGAGAGAGTAATTTACGAACTCCATCCAAACATGCTGCGAGGTGGTCAGCCCCTAACAACTTGACTTTGTGTCAATCCATCCCATTGCAGGGCTGGAAATCATCCCTGGGGGCTGATGTCTTTAGTAAAGCTGTTGTAACCTGTAGGTAAGTGTTTCGCACAGGCTAGCGAGCTCCTTGCTCTCAGGAGGCTGGTGAGGTGAGCAAGACTATGGGCAAGCAACTGCAGAACAGCAACACAGTCTGCAGTTGTGGCATTCTGGAGGATATTGGTGGGTGGTTCAAAAATATTGTAAGGATATTATTATACCTATATAATTTGATTCTTTTAGCATAAAATAAGCCCCCGGTAATTTATATTTACTTGGCAGCGAGGAAATAAAAGTTGGTTTGGCAATTGCATTTAGCAAAACACTGGAAACTCRAGGGAAAAAATATTGCCTGTCTAAGTTGAACTAATGTTGAGAAACAGGGCTCTGTGAATCTGAATTCAACTCAGTTTTTCAGAGCTGCTTACCCTGTCTCCCTCCACTGCTGGCCAACTGACAGAAATTCAATATTTTTCTTTTACTGAATGAAAAGCATAGTCAGAAACAGCGATTGGGTCAGAATCATATGCAAAAGCTCCTCTTGTGCTTTTGTTTCCTAATTGCTCTTGGAAGAATTCTCGGACTGGGCTGACGCAGTTGTGTGTGCGAATTTCCTGGCAAATAAGGAAGGTGACTGTGTCCAAAAGACATTTTAGAGTGCAAATTCACAGCTTTTCCATGTCTAATCAAGGAACGTAAACCATTAGCCACATGTTCTCCATTTCCATCACATTTTTTCACGCTTAAACAAAAACATGCCAAAGAAAAGGTGCTACATTTTTTAATGCCCCCAAATAGGAACCACGGGAGTCCGTTAAATGCTGTGGCCATTTCCAGCATACAAATCAATTTTCCTTGTGGTGGTGAAGTGGTGAATAATGCCTGGTTTGTTTAAGGAAGCATGACTGATTTTGGATGAAGGATCCTGTCAGTTTGGCATTTTTCGTTTTATTTATTGCACACAACCGTATAAAACCTGGTACCGGTCTCAGTGCCAGGCTTACTAGTGGAAAAGCTGAAAGGACCACATAGCTCCTGGTGCAGCAGAGAGGTTCTCCTTCTGCAAGACTTTTGCTGRACTCCTGAGAAATTACTTTGAATAGCATGGCAGAGAAGGATTTCATCAGTTGGCATCTCCTGGCTTTATTTTTTCTTCCATTTTGCCTGTGTCAAGATGAGTACATGGAGGTGAGCAGAAGATCTTATAAACCCGTGGCCAAAGTATTGCAAAGTCACCACCAGACTGGCCATAAAGGTTCCAGAAGCAGGGAAATATTGAAACAGCGGAGTCAACTTATAGAGTGGACTGTTGCTAATAGCACTTCTACAGACCACAAAGTCCTGAGACCAGAGGTAGATGATGTAGAACTGACTACCTCAGATAGAGTCCAGGTACTCTGAATTAAATCTTCTAAAGATAATTTTAAAGCTAATGAGATCTTTCTTTTTTTTTTTTTTCTTATTTTCCTATAAGATTATTACTGATATATTTATGAAATGAATTTTACTAAAGCTGTTTATTGGTCTGTGTCCTGCTGGGTTGTTTTATAGGATCTTTTAATGAACTGGTAGAATCAGCAGTGTCTCGGGACACTGTTACCAACATGCAGAGCAGCCTTTTGTTTTGCCGAAACGATGATCCTATAAAATTGTATATTGTGGTATAGAGTCTCTTAATTATTTCAGAGGGTATTTTTTAATATATTATAATTTTGTATCCTATTTACTCATTTGGATGTGAAGGARAGTTATGGAATTTGCAGAGACATTTGAAAAGATTAAAATAGCAAAAATAAGCTTACTTGAAAATTATGTGTAGAAAATATACTCTTTTGAGTGTGAGAAAGACAATGAATTTTTCAGTATTTGCAGTTGTTATTCTAAGGAATAGCTTGAAAAAACAGGCACTAATGTTGCCTTTGAGAGCCAAGTAGATTCAGTAACGATATTTATCAAATTGACTTTCAGTTTCAGTAGAGAAACGTGGAAAGAAATGTTTTTTAAATCAGCTGTAGTGCCTGCTTTTTAAATTGGAGTTCTTTTTTATGCCGTTTACATGGCAGTTTATATATTGTAGTCATTAGCTCACAGAAAAGGGAAAATTGCATGACTTTTGCATAAAATACCACAATCATAATTTAAAGGTAAATGGATGKAGCTTTTTCTAATTTTAGGCAAAACAAGTATTTGTTGATTGGTTTGTTTTTTAAAAGAAGCAATGTGTGTGCTTTGTTCCTATTTCTGATATAAATGATAGGKCTCTTTCAAGTTTGTCTTTTATCATTTGTACAACTATTTTCAGAGCTAATCATGATATTCTGAATTACAAAAATCAGGGACATGCAGACGAACATAATGATTTTATTTTAGTACTTTGCTAGGCTAAATAAACTGAAATATATCCATCTATAAGAATAGGTTTAATCCACCACTACATTCCTTGTAATTAAATTTTATAGTGAATTGCTCTTTGGATTTCTTGGGCAGGAGTTATATATACCTGCAATCCACTCAGAAAAACAGATATTTGACTGTAGGCATGTCAAAATGCACTTATATAATCACATATATAGTCTGATGAGCCAGCTCGTGTATGTTTGTGTGTGCTCCTCTTTATTGCACAGAGACTTGTGCAGTTGCATCCTATAGACCCTATAGTGGCTAAAGTTTAAAAAGTTAAAAAAGACTTGAACATAATCTCAGATAATGCAGGATTCARTATAAAATGACGATTTTGTTAAAGGTCAAATTGCCCTTCAGACACAAAGTGTCTGCAGTCTCTGGGGGGCCTGTGTCTTTCATCAGACAGTTTAGTGTTTGGAGCTGCCTGGTGGGCAAGGAGCTGTGACATTAAAACTGAGTCCTGCCAGCCCGAGTGCAGTTGATRGCAGGTCATTTACCTGACAGCCTCGTCCCTAGGAAGCAAACTTTGCTGGGGAAATGATGCCATTTTTGGCTTACTTAAATGAAATGGAGCATTAGCGAATGCACAACAGGRGTAATCCATCACAGAGTGGCTGATGCAATAGGTATTTTCCATCCCGAGACTCCCTGGATTTCCAGGCAGACAGGGAGCAAAGGTGGCAAGGACCTGTTTTTACTAACATCAAACCTCTCCCTTCTCCTYGAGCTGTCTGAAAGCTGCTTGGCAAATGCAACAGCTGCAAACACCCAGACTGTGTATGGAAAAGTGTAATCCTTAAAACTGCCACTTTCTTGATTATCTTAGCGCTGGCTGGAGAATTTTGCCCTTTTGCTAAAGTGTTTTAAACATCACGTCCACTATTGTGCCAAAGCCACAAGAGCATTTCTCTTTGCTGCACTGGGTAAAAGACCAGTTTCCTTCCTGCTGGTAACCTCTGAAAAATATAACGTGCATTTCTCAAGAACAAGAACACCCAAAAAACAAGGAAAGCCAGACATGCTCCTCTTTCTTATGTTCCTACATCCTTCAAGTGCCCCTCAGCCTATTGGCCTTTTGCCCAGCATTTTGGTGGTTTGCTTATTCCTTGGCAAGAGAAGGGACATGGGGGACCACAGAGATGTGTTGACTCTCTTGCAGCACAGGAGCCAAGAGCGGTGGGTGCACATTGCTCTCTTTTCTATATTGTGTTAGGCAATACAAACAGAAACCCAGAAAATTAACCAGGAAGTGGAAAGAGGTCTGGTTCTCCAATTCTGATTGCACCACGAGTTTAAATTAAAGGAATTTTATAGGCCATCTGCTCCCTAGAACTGCCTCCTACMTACTAAATCAAAGGAAATTCAGCAAATATCCGCAATGCCCTCATTTCTATTTTTTAATCTGTATTAAGATATGGCAGATACCTTTCACAAGCTGCTAAATCATATTTCTGTTTCAGAGAGCAATGCCAAAGATCCGTTGTGCAATAAAATTTATGTGCCAATTGCTGCATAGGATCCCTTTGGCAAGTAGGCTGCAATTAATTTTTATGTCCCATTTGAGTGTAATTTCGTAGTAGACACAGATTTTTACTTTAAATGTACTTTTAACAAAGTCTCTTGTTTTTAGAGATTAGAAAATCATACTGAATATCCATTGTTCTTGGCAAATGATCGTGAACATTTTTTCCTCCTAGTCAAAGGATTAGTAAAGATAATAAGTCAATATTACCTCACAACTTGCATAAGTAGTTATTTTGAAGGCAGTGCAACTGTTCTAATACAACCAAGCTGGCAGGACTTGCTTCCTCTCACGTGTAATAACCTGTCGAGCTGTCGGAGAGATAATGTCAAGTTAGTCATGTTCAGTGCTAGCGTCTATTTTATAACCATGTTGCTGGTTAGCTAAAGAGGTTGTTTGGGATTGTAGAGTGATGGCTAAGGAAACAAGTGCTACTTCTACATAAAGTGCCTTGCACACTTAAATAAGACTTATTTTTGACACAGAATATCCAGTTTGCTGGGCTCATGCATTTCCTCACCTATAATCCACTTTTGCAAGCACTTGAACGTTTCTAGGCTGACACTGTTTATTTGTTCTGGACAGACACTTCTGTAGTTGGTCTTCCCACTTCCCATGAATATCAAGGACTGTCTGAAAAGCACTGGAGATGTCCAGCTCAGCACAACATTGAACATTAGCACTCCAGGAGGTACAAAACGTTTGTATAATTCCAGTCCTGGAGCATTTGGCTCTCCTTCAAGGATGGAAAAGTAGCATAAAGCAGGGCTACTTCTTATCTCACATTAGGAAAGCTTTGACCAGTACATCTGGAGCTTGTCAGTTTTATTCTAACAGCTGGGAAAGATGAGACAGCAAAAACAATACAGATGGGTGCTCCAGGAACAGATGGGCCAGCAGGCAATAGTCTTTCTTTCCTCATAAAATATAGTTCTTATCTGGAATTAAGGTAAAAAGCATAGAACTGACCAACAACCCATAATCCAAAGTCCTTCTGACCACTGGCAGTCATCAATATTTCTGTGCCTTTTTGAATATGAAATTTGCTTTCTGAGCTCTCCGTCCTGCCTTTTCCCCCAGGGCAGCTCTGCTGTCGCTGCTTCCAGCTCAACAGCACACGTATCTGATCCACTGCAGCCCTTGCACAGAAGATATTCTTCTACAGGCATAAACATAAATTCCGGAGCCTCTAGAAACTAATGACGTTTTGGGAGTGTACTTGGAATTGTTCAAAAGATGGGCACCAAGATTCAGCCTTTCAGATTATGCCAAGGGGTGGCCTCAAGGGTAGAACTACAGAGCAGCTATATGTTCATTTAGCTGTGCCCAGATCACTAGGGCCTCATTTGCTGCAGTTAAACCAGTAGGTGTGCATTGGGCAGGGGTGACCAAGAACAGCAGTGGAAAGAAAGGRAAGGAAAACAAATAGGAGAATGATTAGAAAAAATAGCAGTCTGATTGATGTGACTATTTCCTTGCAGAATTTAACCACTGCAGCTTTGTGCCTTAGGATAATAGAAAAGAATTGCAGGGGGAGAACAACAACGAAGGAAAAAATGAAAAGAAGGTAGAAAAAATAAAATAAACCCCAGGACCTCTACCTCAGTTGACCCATTGAAAGTTTTGTAACTGCTAAATCAACATGACAGCCTAGTTACAAAATCTAACCAGAACTGAATGAGAGTCCATTAGCCTAAATACAGTAATTTGGGAAAGAAATGCAGTGAAAACTGATAATAGCAAACTATTATTAAAGAAGCTAAGCTGTGCATAATCAGCTCACTTGTTTATTTGTGCTGCTATACATTTCATCATACAAACAGGTTTCATAGTTATGTACCCACAAGTATGAGTAATCAAATGTCCACAACACGATGTGTCATGGTCAGTTTGAGTGTTCTCACGTACCTTGGCACTTTGGCAGATTCTATTAACTTTAATAGCTTGCAAATGCACTAGTTTGGGGTCATTAGCAGGTTTTTGCTGCATGTACAATTTTGTACATCTCCTCCTGCCAATCCGTTCCAGTTTTCTCCATGTTTAGCAGAAGACAGATCACTGCTGAAGGGCAAAGGCAGGCCCTTGCTTCCTGATACTAATTGCACTTAGGTTTGTTTGTCAGCAAAGGGTCTTAGATGAAATTTGTGCTCAGGGAAAAGCAGGATAGGAACCTAGCTAATAAATCCTTTTAAACTTCATTTCTCAGTATTATTTCATTCCTWTAGCCCCATTTTTAACACACCAGCTTATTTCTACTTTTTATGTTCATCTAGCTCTCAGAACACTTGAAGAGCTTTTTCCTTAAATCTTCCAAAAATAACATTTTTGGAGGCAGCCAAGTATGGGAGATTTCAGTCCAGATAAGAAGGGTTTTGAAAACTTACCCAAACACATAAACTGAGACTAAATAAAGAAGACCCTGTAACTGACACATGTGTGATGGATGCATTCCATGAATGAGTTATTTATGACCTATTTTTGTGCACTTAGCCCCCACAGACGGGACCACAGAATCCCGACTGCAGTACCTGCTGCCGTGGCGATTTTGGAGTTCGCCTCTACCAAGGGCCCCCAGGACCCCCTGGCCCCCCTGGGATGCCAGGTAAGAAGCTCAATCCATTCTTGATCAGTTTACTTAAATGCAGGAAAATCTGTGAGAATAGKCTGAACATCACAAGGTGGGGAGAGATTTGAAAACAGTTTTTTCTGTCATTTCGGGGAAGATAGGGATCTAATACCAGGTAAATTCTACAGTCTATGCCAGTGAAAAAGGACTTGTTAAAAAAATTCAGCTTTCGGGAAGTGGTGCTGAATGTAGTCTTCTTGCATTTGTTCTCCCTTCTTAAAGCTGCATGAAGTGTCCATTAAAATCAGGAGAACTTGTTCTGTGGKGCTGATTATTGCTTTCATTTTTGAACATCCAGCAATGCCAAATTGTGCTGCATTTAAGAGCTTTCCTCTCTAGGCAAATTTTTACAGACACATACATGTTCTATTCTCTCCTTGTCTTCCATAAYAGAAAATAATTGATTTATTAAAAGTGCACACAGGATACCTAAGGAAARGGTATAATTTCATCAAGTAATTGCCATGTAAAAAGACAAACCTGCAGAAAGGAAAAAGATGGTATATTGGTGTAAGTAATATGGTGGTTAYTTTCATGAAATGATCATTTCTAAATCAAATGTGTAAAGCAAGGGAATATGTCATTGACTGACAGATTTGCCTCATCTTCCCAATCTTTCCTCTTCTGTTGCTACAATAAAATATATTTCTTTATCCTTCTTTCTCACAGATTTGCTGATAGTTAACAGAGGTAACAGATAAAAAAAAACAAAAAAAAAAAAAAAAAGGAAAAAGAAAATGAAGCAGTCTTTCCTTAAGGTGATTTTAGATACTATGAGAGAAACATTTTCCATTCAGGACACATCTGACACTGTTCTAAATGAAGCGTTTAAAGAAGTAGCTTCAGATTGCAAAATACTGAAATAAATTGCTACTCTGACATGTTTTGGTGTTCAGCATAATTAAGTATTAAGCATATTTGGCATTAGWCTCCTATGAGCTAGAATTTATTATTTCATGCATCAGTCCTTCGTAAGAACAGCACAATCACTACAGACGTAGGAGAAATGTAATAGTGGGACCTCTTGTGCTGAAATAGGGCTTTAGGCATAACTAGAGTTGGCTTCGTAGGAGTGGGACAAAATTTTGTGTTATTCCCAGACTTTTGGGGCTGCCAGTCAGGATACTGCAATGGTTGTAGCTGGGCACAGTTTTGCCCTTCCCTACATGAGAGAATGTAACTCAGTCACACTCTCATGCTGCCAAAAGACACCACAAATGCTGCTCCCAGGAATTCTGCAGCCAGGAATTTCTCTGTCTCCTTCATCTGCTGCATTTTTTATCATTATGTGCCAAAGGGAAATAACAGCTGTGGTTCACTGATTGATTCAAATATTTGCTTGCCGGCTTCTGTTACAAACAGAGAAGTGGTTCTTGATTTATATGAAGGATCATTCTTTTAATTTTTCAAGTCTATTGATTTCTCCACTTAAATAAAAATTAGTTTATTTACACCTATGATTTAGCTTCCTTACTGGATATCATATTTTTTTCTCAATACAAAAAAATATGAAAGAATTACTTACTCACTAGATTTGACCTCAGACAATACAATTCTTTCAAATTCACGATTAGAGTAACTAACCACTTTGAATTGAYGAAGATGCAGAGGTGCATAGAATCTCATTTCAACTCAGGTAGAATTAGATTAATTATTACATTAACTAATTCCTTTAGTAATGATTTTAAAATTGGGATCTTGCTTCAGGTAAGCATAATAATCATTCAGTTGTTCTAGACAGCTTTAAAATTTTGTCAGTCACAGACATTTGCTCAGTAATTTCCTCAGTAAACACCAGGAAATAAGTAATAGTGTAGATCCAGAAATACCTTTTTACAATGAGCCCTTTTATATAAAATCACTTCAGAAAAGTCTCATTATAGGATTTTTGTCTTTCTTGAAGTCTAGTCTATCTTTCTGATAGTCTAGTCCTATCAACCTCTTAAAGGTAACCTGCATCCCGAGATTTTAAACCCTCAAATGTCTTTTAGCTAGTTCAGGGTTACTGCCTTTCTCCATTTGTAAGACATATTTTGAAGACAGCAAAGTGTTCCTCCAAGTTATCCTGTGGAAGCAGCAGAAAAAAAGATTTTACAGAGAAGGAAAGGCAGAAGCAACCACATGAGCTGCCTGGACATCCCACCAGGCAGCAGCCTTTGCTCTCCCTGGGCCTTGTGTCTGCTGAGGTTTCTTTAACCCAAGGAGGGTTAACTCTTAAACACAGTTGGGTCCCTTTTTGGAAACCTGCTCATCAAAATCTTAACTCTCTTTTAAGGAAACCATGGGAACAACGGGAATAATGGAGCAACGGGCCAGGAGGGAGCCAAGGGTGAAAAAGGAGACAAAGGAGATATGGGACCGAGAGGAGAGCGTGGCCATCACGGACCCAAAGGGGAGAAGGGCTACCCTGGGATCCCCCCCGAGCTGCAGGTACGAGATCCTGGCTCGTGTGGCCTGTCGTGGTGCTCCGCTTATGGAGTTTTCTCCTCTGAAAAGCTGTGCCTGGAAAAGCCTGAGACTATAGGATATACCGTAGGATATTTGGGAGGCAGATCCATCTGTAACTGTACAGGCTGACACACACAGCACTTGTCAGGAGTGAGTAATGKGCTCTGCCTGGAAAAGAAAGACACCAGGGCTTAGCTCTTCTTCAGAGTAAGAATCCAGCTGCAAAATGAGCAGGAAGAAGCATATACCATTCCCCTTCAGGGCAGAAAGCCAGTAACTGGATCATTAAAGAAGAGTAAAAGGGACCATAATTTTCCCATTAAGCTGTATCACATTTATACCTCTGGCTTCCTAGGGCATGTGAGAAGAGTCAGGGYGTCACTCAGGCTCGTACTGCTGAGGCCTGCCAGACCTTGGGAGATCTGCAGCAGCATTTGTATCCAAATTCTCAYGTATTGGGTCAAAACCTTTGAGTGAAGTCCAAAGTCTTCAGGTTTTGAAAAACATCCCTCAGCAGCTATCTCTGTTTTTAAACACACCTTTAAAATGTTGCTCAGAACTACATGGGAACATGGAAAATACAACTACAATTTCCATGCAGCTGCCATGAGGGAGAAGCAGGTATGTTCTGCCTGTGATTGAGCTATCCCAAAGCCAGGTGAACACGATAACGTGGCTTTAGACCTGAGCTGTCACCTCTGCTAAAGGCTTGGGCTAAAGCCTAAGTTTAGGCTCCCCACTCTGTTAACATAATTGCATAGCTTTGGGATTAGACCTTGTTCATCTTTTCAGAAAAGGCATGAAAATTAACAGGAAAGTCACCAAAAAACAACCTGTGTGTAATGTGGGAAAATTGCTTTGGATTTCTTGGCACTGTGTATATTTGAATACTCAGCCCTGGGTTGCAGGGAGACTGGGTAATTGCACAGAACAAAATTCAGCCTGAAATTAGTTTCCAAAAGTAATAGATTTCTGTGATAAAGCAGAATTATTTTAGCATTCTTAAAGAACTAACCAGGATTAGTGTTATAGCTGAATATCTTGAAAAACATATTTGTTGTAATTACATTCATTATAGATACTTCTGCAATTTAAAAATGAATTATCAAGTATTTTTCTTAACAGTATGTCAGTAGCATTGATTTATTTAAACGCTGAATAATGAAAGATGATGAAAATACAAAGGCTCATATTGCAGTACTTGCTTTAAAGTGAAATTCTTTCACTACATTTAACAGATGTGCTTAAAAATTCTTCACACAGTAAAGCATAAAATTTCTTGTCAACATCATGCTTTAGAATTCTAGAGAAGGGATAGGGAGAGGGGAAAACACCTTTGAATATAATACCATTAAGTACAGGACTATTTTGAAACACATCTGTATCCATGTTGATCTGTTACTTCCAAATAGGGCAGAGAGAGAGAAAAGCCACCTTTTTCAACTCTTCTGGTGAGGGCAACAAGTTTGGGGTCAAAGAGAATGAGAAATGGAATCTAGACAAGAAGTAATAAGTTCCAGCAAGCTGCCACTGCAGCTGCTTTGCTTTAACACGCGACGAACTTCGATGCGATCCTGGCTGGGAAGCGAGAAGTTGGGAGTTTGCTGTCACGGTAAACGCATCCATGCAGGGATAAAGAAAATAAGCCCGGTCTTCAGCGCACATCTGGTGCTCCTCAGATTTCCTAGCAGATGGTTTATGATTTCCAGCGCTGGATCTGACTTAGCATTTGATTTTTTTTTCTGTTTCAGTTTCATTCTCATTTGGATTTGAAAACAAAAGGAGGGGGATTTTTTTTTTTTCATTTTAATTCCTGCGTAGTTGAAATCTCATGAAGAATGTCCCTTTTGTGAGGTGCAGTAACTGAGCATTTTCCATCTAAGAAATAGAGATACAGAAAAAATAAAAGGTCTGTTAAGCCCCTCTCATGGCCTTCTGGCAGCCAGGTGCAGTGTCTCTGCTCGTGTCCCCTGTGCTGTCATTCAGCGGGGGGACCACAGCCTCGCAGACCAGATATCCCCTTTCCCTGTCTAGGCAGTTGGTTTCGCACAGTTTCCTATGAAACGATTTCCACAGACAATACCTTTTACTGCAAGAAGATTAATAGGGAGTTCTAGAACAGTTTGCACTTTTTTAGTTTCCCCTTTTGATCCTCACCATCTTCTATCTTGACTGAGAAATATAGAGCACATGGTAAGAGAAATAGCAGTGACTGATGAAACCCCATCACTTCATTTCTAGGACATCCTTTATAAATGTGCCTCAAGCATCTCTGAAGGTAGTTATCAAAAACACTAATGTGCATGGGTTTTCTCATGTACGATTTTTTTCACACTTTCAGTTAAAAGCAATATCCAGCTTAAATGCACTGGGGGACATATAAAAGCTAATTAAATTATTTTTATGCAAAACACTGTACGTTTCAATACCACTTTTCTATTGCATCATTCTAGAGAGAATTTAAGATAAATAAAATCCAAAACTAAGGTCCTGACCTGCAAACACTTGCCCATACACTTACTTTTCCCGTCATGAATAGCGCAATTGAACCTAAGGAAGCCAGTGGTCTTCCAGTTTCACTCAATGGGAGTTTTGTTACTGGAGTTTAATGACCTTGGATCAGGCCCTAGAAGAACATCTCTGTCAGGAAAATAAACAGACCGCGAATAAGAGATGAAATTCTGTAGGCGAATTCCTCTGCATTTGCACATTTCATGAATAACTAAGTACAAACTGCATGTGTGTAGGTTGCATTCATGGCTTCCATGGCTACCCACTTCAGCAACCAGAACAGTGGCATCATCTTCAGCAGTGTCGAAACCAACGTCGGGAATTTCTTTGATGTCATGACCGGTCGGTTTGGAGCTCCAGTGAATGGTGAGTGTTTGCAAAACAAAATAATGCAATTCTGGGAGCTATTGGGAGCAGCAGAGTCAATAGCAATGAGATAATACTGCTGACTTTGCATAAAGCACTGACAAGGCTCGTGGGAATAGTCTGTATAGCTCTTGCCTTCAGGAAAAAACAGACTGGAGATGCGGCAAGCAAGAGAAGGCTCCTCTGTGGGACCAGTGCTAGCCCCAAGGCAGGAGGAGGATCCTGCCCAGGACCTCCAGCATTCAGACCTTAAGCACTTCTGCTGTCATGATGAGAGCGCCATGGTCCCACGTGGCAGGGGCAGTTTCACAGTCATCTCCTCCACATTACAGGGTTTCCTGAGTTGTTTTTCATCTGTGTTGATCCCCCAGCTCACAAGCATGTGGTATAGGAGGAGCAATGGGGGATGGACGGCTATATGCCAAGAATAGATCTAAGCAAAGCCTGAAATCACCTTCCTTCACTTGGTCCTTTTCACCCTCCCCTTGATTCATTTCCTGCTGTGAAAAGTGACATTTTTGCAAATGAAAGCCAGGCCTCTAAGCTTACTGTGGCACTTGTCTTATGGATAGTTAAGAGTATGTGTGGTTTTCATCACAGATGCCTCCCTTTGCAGTTAATGTGTATGTGGGCATTAAACTTTCATCCATAGTGGCTCAATGACTTTGATACAACATCTAAGCTCACTGGCCTCAGAGCGCTGCAGGGTTAATGCTACAGACCTCCTTGCTGAGGATCCAGAGGCTTTTCCTCCTTCCTCGGAGCGTCTCATGGACCTCGTGACACGTAACGTGGTTGTGCTGACGGCATTGCCTGTGCCTTCCAAAGGTCAGCAAAGGGATGGAAGGGCAGAGAGCAAAGGCCACGTCTGCACGCTGTGGCAGGCTACAAGGCTCATGCCCTGTCCCATCTGGGACGGCATCCAGAGCTGCTCTGGAGACTGCTCTTTTGGGAATGGCTGGGAGTAGGAAGGCAAAGAGGAAAAGGCGAAAGAGGGGTCACTAGGCTCAGTCTGTGGGAAACCTCCATTTCGGAGAAAGGGAAGGATGCTGCAATTCTTTGGAACAGTGTGCGGCAGAACCCTTGCCATGTGCAGAAAAAAAATGAGGCAGATTTGACCCACTGTAGTAGGAAGCAAAATACCCATTGACAACGGGAAGGCTGTTAGGTTTCCTAAGCAAGAAGGACCAGTCTGTAGCATGAGTGCCTCACTCTACGAAGCCAACATGCTATAAGTTTTAAACCTTTACAGGAGTGTACTTCTTCACCTTCAATATGATGAAACAYGAGGATGTGGAGGAGGTGTACGTGTACCTCATGCACAACGGCAATACCGTTTTCAGCTTATACAGGTGAGTCGAGTCCTGAGCCTTTCTCGCTGCAGAAGATGCATTTGTGCAGATATGGCTTCTTTCTCACATTGCAAGAATTGTGAAATTGTCCCTTTTCTGAAGGAATGCACTGGGGTGAAAAAAAAAAAAAAAAGAGAAAAAACACACAACAAAAAAATACTGCTTTATTTTACCCCACTCAATATGCAGATTATACCTGCCACAAAACCTGTTCTTAAAATTTAGTTTCAGTCRGAAGTTCCTTACAGTTTGGGGAAGCAGTGCAAATCAGGGTTGGAGTCCTGCAGTAACCAGCTGTTATTCTGTTAAAATATATTTCACTTCCATTGACCTGTAAGGGAAAGGGAGTAATGAAATGTTCAGCAATGTGATAACAGATCTTTATCACATAAACAGATAGCAGGTTACTTTAAAAAACAGCATTTAAACTGCCAAARTCAGCAGTAAGCAACTGCAGGAGCCAGAAGGAAAGGTGCTCCATTTATTGGTTTTATCTTTAACATATTTTTAATATTTTTTAACTGTTTGGTTTAGTTGGGTTACTTGCCCAACGACTTTTTCCTGAAGCATTAGTGAAAGAAAAGACAAGTGGGAGAAAGGAAACCAAYACACATGCAAAATCAGCAGGTTAGCCCAGATGTGGCAGATCTAAGTTCAAGCAAAGGGCCTTAGGCTGGAGTCAAGTCTGGCTCCTGCTAACAGGGAGTGCAAGCACTCAGCTTACATGAGGCTACTGACCCGTGGGCATGTAAAATCAGCTGGGATGACTCCAAGAAAAAGARCATAATGAGAAATCCTGAGTGTTGTGAAGAATAAGCAGTTTCGTTTTAAACAATCTATTTGTTCTATTGCTCTGGTTAAAACCTGAGTAAGTTAAACTTCAAGAATTTCAGAAGGGAAAAAAAAAAGATGCACTTAAAAAAGGTACAAAATTTGACTAGGTGGTCAAATGCACACAGATGCCAACATTTTTGAGTAAATCAGATAAAAAATGTTACTGAGCCTTGGGGGGGAATTTTGCTCAGGGTAACAATGCACTTTCTCGGATTTTTATTTTCGAATTATTTGCTTGATCATTTTCAATAAAAAAAAGAGCTAAGTCGTTGTAAAATATTCCTCCTTAGCTATGAATCAAAAGGCAAAGCAGACACTTCAGGAAACAGCGCAGTGTTAAAACTTGCCAAGGGAGACGAAGTCTGGCTGCGGATGGGAAATGGAGCCCTCCATGGGGACCATCAACGCTTCTCCACCTTTGCTGGGTTTCTTCTTTTTGAAACAAAGTAAGAAAAAAAAGAAAAGGAAAAAGACAGAAAGGTAATTATCTGAGGAAGCTTGGTGTTTTTGAGCTGGTATTTTTCTCTGGACTAAGGAAATAGCAGATCAAGAAAGCTTGTTTTGATGCTGTACGTTGCTATTTGTGTATCAGAGATGAGCTGAACAGATTGGGTAGCTGACACAATTACAGATTCACAGGAGATAAATTGTCATCTAGGTTGCATCTAATGAACCATTAAATGTTGCTATTGTTCTCTTCACCAAAGCAACTGAAAAACAAAGGTAAAGGGGATGAAAATAATTTAGAGAGCAGTTTGTGCAGTGAATTTTGGCTCTAAATATATTTAAATATATGTCAGGAAATCAACAACGGATTTGTGAGTTTTTGTTTGTTTTCTTGGTTTTGGTTTTTTTTACATGTTCACGTAAGCTTGTCCCATGCAAACAGGCCTGAAGGAGTTGTAAGTTCGGCTTGAGAACAGATTTAGAGGAAGAAGTTTTTACTGGCCTAGAAATAACTTTATAAAAAGGAGAAAAAATGTGAAAAATAACATGTTGAGAATTCAGGTTTATTTCATTGCCATCTCAAACCTCCGAAGGTGCATTGGGTGTCTTTTTTTTTTTTTTTGTAGATTTTTTTAGTACGTATTTACTCTCTCTTTCAAAAATAAAATAAAATAAAGGGTAGTAGTAATTCTAGCCTTAGTAGCAGCTTAAAGGTAAGGTAATTTAGCAGAGCGTATGGGTCAGACAGGGGAAGGGTATTATTCCTCCCGAGCCTTTAGATTTTTGAAACCTGACGTGGTTGAATGCAGGGTGTCAAGGCAGCTCCATAGATGCTGGAAAGGTTGGGAATTAGTGGTCAGCACAGGCAGAGAGAGACACACACAGGTTTTGTGGGGGTTGGAGCTCGTTCAGAAGGACGTGCATTGATGTACTGCATATTGACTCAGCAGTGACGTTGCTGATCCGGTTTGCTACCAGCCTGCCAAGAGCCAGGACTGCAGGAAAAGAAATTGTAGCCTGGCAGAGCCACAGCTAACCCAGTTCRATATTTAATTGGTGAAAGGAAACATTGGCTAGGTTAGAAGTTCTGTTCCCAGGAAATTGGACAGCTTTTTAGCATTAATATTTGCCCACTGATTTTTTGGATACCTGAAATCTTGCTATTTTTTTTAGTTTAAGAACGAACCTATCAGCAACAAATAGGTTTCAGAAATACGGAGCTTAAATTGTGAGCGCCTTTTGCAAACTTGGGCTCAAAAACTAATGAAAGATAAATTACATTTTAACAGGGATTTGTTCAATATTTATTTGAACTTATTTTGTATAGGACAAAGATATCATTACCAATAAAATAAAAGAATCAAAATCTGTTCTAAGAACTTTTATGTCCTTGTACACATTCTATAYATTCTTAGTTTATGCAAAAAACATCTTGTGTTAAAAAAGTATGCTGATCCTTGATGATTATGACTTGTGATTTTTTAGTTTTATACATCAACCACTGAAAATAATAATTTTAATGAACTATCTTCTGATGAATTTTTTTTCTCTTCATGAATTTTGGGCAGGTTTGTATCATACAGACTGTCAAAACCTGAGATCGTGCTATTTCAATAAGCATTGAAAAAGTGAACAGTGTAATGAGCTAACTTTTACATAMAGAAAAATCTTGAAAAAAATATTTCTTGTTGTGTTAGGAATATTTGTTTACATTTACCCAATAAAATTTAATAATTGTAAAACTATAGTAATTTGTTCATATCTAYATTTACTGCAGCATATATGAAATCAGCCAAAGGTTTTTACTATTTGGAGACTGTGGGGTTATATCCTTAGCACATATGCCTTGAGAGTTCATTTTGCTATTGGAYTGGAGAAAACCATTGCTAAGGGGCAACTATATATTTATTTTTTACACAYACAAGCATGCATACACACACATATATATCTATATGTACGTATGCTCCTGTCGCTCATCCTTTTCGTATTCAGCAAATCAGATGAATGTTTGTTCTCATTTTTTTTAATAACAGTTRTCTTTGAATCATTGTCCATAATTGAAAGTCACTTCTTTAACTGATGCCCTAAAAAATATGTTCTTTCTTCAAAGACTCTTGTCTTTCACTTTGAAATAAGTGATATMTTGTATGTTTTATGGATTGAGGACTCTATTTCCTACCTCTGCATCATTGATGCTGCCATGGAGATTGCAAAGGTGACAATGGAACGGGCTCTATATTGTGCATCTCTATTTATCTGTATTTACTTTAAATGGGGCAGGGCAAGGTCCATGAATGTACACATAGAATAATGAATGTACACATAGAATAATGAAATCCATGTGGTGCAGAAGAGATTTTTTGCATTAATTGTCAAAAAAAAAAAAAAAAAAGCACAAACGGAGCATTATCCTTCTGCTCTTTTGGAAGCAATCCAGCAGACAAGAAATTCCACAAAATAGCAGTGTTTTAAAAGAATCACATTGTTACCAAGCCAAGACTGGAAATATCCTTGCTAAAACCCACTTGGACATCTTAGCTTCTGTTTCCTCTGAATGTGTCTCACCATATGTTCTTCCCATCACACAGTCATATGCTGTTTCTTAGCCTCATCCTGCAGCAGTTGGATGGTGCCTGCTGAGTATGGCATGGACCACATGCTGAAATGTGGTAACAGAAGACAAATGYAGAACAGCTTCATTCACTGATTTCATCCAAATGTATAGTTAATGAAGCTTGGTCACTATAGAAAATGGAACACACTAATACAGGAAAAAAAAATAAATTTGCAAGAGCAATCTTAATTTTAGCATCTTTAAACTTCTGAGAACTCCATTTTCTAATGTTAATGATTCTTGAAAGAAAAATACTCCAGGCCCACACAGCATCATACAGTGGGAGAGAATTCATTGTTTATTCCACCTTGAGGACTGGTGCTTCAGGGCAGGACATGGGGCTTCAGACTTTGTGTCATTCTGTCATGGGAAAAGCCTTGATCTGCAGCTGAAATTGCTGCATGGGAATCAAATTTTCTGCTGTTCATTTTTTAAAGTTACAAAATATCATTGCTGTGCATAATATCTTTAAGCGCATCATTTCAGATCAATGCTTTCTTCCCTCCAAGATTACATGTTTCTCAGTAACGTCACTGTTTGCTTTCTCAAATTCTCACAGTGACACAGAATAAACAAGAATGTGAATTAGTTATGAGATAAGTATCCTGTGACTATGGCCAAGTACCAAATAAAGTGCTCATTTGTAGGGTGATGGAAAGAGTTCATGCAAACAAAGGCCTATCGACCAATTGCACCTGCAATATTGGAAAATCTACAATGAATGCTGCAGATGATACTGTCCAGCAGGAGTAGCTCACTGGAAATAACTTAGGATCACCAAACTGTAGGATGGGGGTACTCCGATTATTTCAAAATGGCAGGTATTTTTTCAAGAGGTCAGAGGCAGCTTGTTGGAAATGTGATATGTCCTGTACAGGGCTGAAGCTCTGTATCCAAGCAAAAGAAATCATGGAATCCCTTAGCCTAAAGTTTTGAGGCCCTAAAATAGTGGTTAATAATAAAGGAAAATATTTATTTTCTACTGATTAGCTAATATAAGGATTAGCTATATAAGGTTGTTTGCCAAAGATGATCAAGGGACTGGAACATCTGTCCTGTGAGGAGAGTCTGAAAGAGCTGGGTCTGTTCAGCCTAAAGAAGAGAAGGTTGAGAGGGACTCTGATCAATGTATATAAATACCTTAAAGGAGAGGGACAAGAGGATGTGGCCAGACTCTCTCCAGCGGTGGCCACAACAGGACAGGAGGCAAAGGCTACAAACTGAAACATAGGAAAGTTCACATTAATTTGAGGAAAAATGTCTTGACTTTGAGGGTGATAGAGCACTGGGACAGGCTGCCCAGAGAAGCTGCGGAGTCTCCTTCTCTGGAGATCTTCAAAAGCCACCGGGATGCCACCCTGTGCAATGTGCTCCAGGTGACCCTGCTTGTGCCAGGCAGTTGGACCCCACTGACTGACAGGACTAAACATCTCACACACAGCAGTTTCTCCAGAGGTGACCCTTTCGGCGAAGCTGCACAAAGCAGCTTGTACCAGTACTCTCTGAGGATGAGAGTAGGCTTTCATTCCTAAGTATAAATTCATAAACCTTGACAGATAGCACCAGGCGCTCTGGAAGCATGAATTCACCTCTGCTTTGGAGGGATGCATTTCACCTCAGGATAAGTTCACTTTTAGTGTGTGAACAAGAAAGTGTGAGTCCACAGTGACACAGAAACACAGGCAGAGAGAAGCTCCATCTGCAAGCTAAAGAATGTGCTGAAATTGCAGAGATTAAGATGCTGTCTTTGACAGAGTACTGTACAAAGGACAGCTTGTCGTAACAGCACTCAGTATAAGGCCAGAAACGTGGAGTATGAACTGCATTGTCTTGCAGATGTCAAGAAATGTTATAAATGGAGCACAACTTTTATTCTGGCAAGGCATAAAAGACATCAGACATCAGGATCAAGCATCAAGACTTGAGAGCTTTGATACGTTCAGAGTACAAAAATACCATTGAAAAATGCATGAGTTCTCAGTTTAAGATTGATGTGGATGTGTTTGAATTAATTAGGGATGTTTCACATTATTACTCCTCACATTGCACAGGCAATGCTAATTTCCAAGTAAGATTTGAAAGATTACAAGAGATGTGAGCAGTTCTTTTGCCCTCCTTACTTTTTCATTTAACAAACTGAACTGTTCTCAGTATCTCTTTTACCATGTATTAAGATATTAAGATATACTCTTCACTTCTGTACATGTACCTTATACACTAATGTAGGAAAGGGGTGTGATTGGGCATGACACAGCTTGTAACATCACACAAATGTTTTACCTAATAAATTCTTTACAAGAAAATTGGTAATAGTGTATTTCTGCTTTTCTGCTCATTGGGCTCCCTATCATTTGTTGCTTTGGGATTTCTAGAGTAGCAATTTATTTACAGAGCAKTGGGAAGTGTTTGGCCGTCAGACAGGAGGCAGGGGCTGTGCCAAGCAAGTGGGTTCTGCAGTTACACACTTGTCTGAAAGAGCAGAGAACCAGAATCAACCCCAGCGGTTTCCCATTCTGTCCTATGCTTCTGCTTGTCAATGTTTGTCATGCTTGTATAAATGTCCCTGATTGAAAAGACCATGTATTTATATCTATTTTTAACAGCCTTTAGCATTGATAAAGACAATTATATGTTTATCCAGTATGACTGGATCACAAACAATACGCATACAAAGGGGAGAAACAAGTTTTTATTAAGAGCTGCATCTCAACTTCATATTCCTGCTTTGGTATTTTTGCAATCCAGTGAAAAGTGAGAATAATTGTGAACAGCAAATCTGTTATGAACTGTAAACTCGGCATGCAATCCAGCCCGCCTGGGACACAGACATGTCTGCACCTCTCAGAGCAATATTTATGTAACATGAAGTATATATTATCTTTTCAACACTGTGGAATGCACTAACCTAAACATAGGAAGGGTATATGTTGCCAAGGATGATACAGATGCTAACTGAAGTAATTTCACCAAGCTCACAAAAGCACCCTGACAATATTTAAGAGAACTGTATGTCCTGTCTCCCAGCCCCATGTTTTAATGCTATCAATCTCTTTTTTCATATCCGTTGCCTCTCCAGCAGAGAACTTAGAGGCCTGTTTGCTGCTGTAATTTTAATGACGCCTATTAAATGGCATCATAAAAATGTGCACTGCACTGTTGCTATTGGAAGTTAATACTAAGGGMAGGCTCCTTTCTTTCAATATACATTTTCTACCGACCAATTTGCTCCTTCAAGAATTTGCTGGATTCAGATCACTAATCTCCACCTCTTTGTCAGTCAAAACCTATTTCTCTTTCACGTGTTTATTTCTTAGTCTATTACAAGTAATTTTATAAAGTAGATTTAGCTCTTGTAAAGTGCCCACCTCATCCTGCTGAAACATAAATAATTTATTAAGGTCATGACTAGAATGTTTCTGCCAGAGGGTACTCTTTAACGTTAGACAACACCAAAAGAAAAGCAAAACCAAAGAAATAAACAAGAAATAAACAAACACCCCNCCCCCCCCCCCCCCCCCGATGTAAAGCACCTTATATATGAGCTGTGAAATCCAGTCTGTAATGATGATTTTACTTGGCTTGATTTTTATCAAGCCAAGTAAACTTCATCAGGTGAAATGTAATAAGACAACAAAACAGCAATTGGCTCTTCCTGCTCAACACAAACCCCAAGAGCCTTAAGGTGAAAGGAGACGAAACTGAAAAGAATTTAAAGAAATGCACTGTCCACAAGGGTAACTGTGGAAACAAACCTTCAYATGGAATTGTATCTCTACGGGAGATGGAAAATCAAGAAAATAAGCTGGTTTTCTTTGAATAAACATGCACATATTTTTCTCCCAACCATTTCCTGTGGGCAGCAGCCTAGCAATGGATACAATTGGTAAACTGGAATCAGGTGTCCTCTGGAAAAATAAAAGGCATTCTGGAAACAGAGCTCTTTCTTTGTTATTGCGGGGATCCAACAAATTCTGCATTCATATTTGCAGCCTTCACCCATTTTTGTTGCCTATTTAACTTAAACAAAACCATAAAATCACCACGGAATTGATTTTAATGGCCTCCTCATCCTGTCTCCTGTATGGTAACTGGAGATACCAGGAGCAGGCTGTGTGTTTGAAAAGCCTTGTGGATCTAATGCTATTTCATGACCTTATCCTGGTGGCATGTCCACCCCTGAGGGCAGCCCAAACGAAATAGTGCTATTAAATCTGTTGCGCTTTCACCAAACACAAGCTCTTGTGCTCCATGACGGGGAAAGAGCTAACTGATCTGGAATGCAGGAGACCTCTTGGGACTAAAGCTCTTCAACATAGGCAGAGCCTGGGGGATATGACGCCTACGAGGCGATGCTCTTCCCTTTGGGTCGCTGCTGAGCCGTTGGGGAGCTGAAGCACGASGAAACCCGTCGTGGGTTCTCAGTGTTGCCATCCCCACCACCCGCACAGCTCCTTGCTGGTGGGCACGGCTCCTSCAATGGGGACAGCGCGTGTCCCAAGCCCAGGCTAAGGGCAGATGTGGCAGCACAGTCAGCGTTTGGCAGTGGGTGCCTGGACAACCTTTTGCCCCCCACAACCACCGGAGTGAGATGGAGCGGGCACCACACGTCTCATCCACCGCATCCCTAGAACACCCGCCAATGGAGCCTCCCCGAACACCGGCGCTGATTTTGGGCTCCTCCTGCCCGGCCCTGCACCCCCTGCAAGGAGCGCGCTTCGCTCCGAGCCGTGGAGGAGAAACGGGCACGGGCTGGCAGCGAATTCACCCGCAGGACGCTGCCATGGGGCTGGCTGTACAGCGGGACGCCTCGGCGGTGTGTGGCTGCTGAGGGGGCAGCGGCGGCCATTGGCGACCGTTAACGGCTCCGCGGGGACTGTTGGCGGCCGTTAACGGCTGCGCGGCGGCCGTTGGCGGCCGTTAACGGCTCCGCGGGGACCGTTGGCGGCCGTTAACGGCTGCGCAGGGGCCGCTGGCGGCCGTTGGAGGCGGCGGCGGGGCGCGCATCGATGCGTCGGCGCTCGGCAGGCGGCGGGCGCCATGGCGCTGAGCGGCGTGCGGGTGCTGGAGCTGGCGGGGCTGGCGCCCGCGCCGCTCTGCGCCATGATCCTGGCCGACTTCGGCGCGCGCGTGGTGCGCGTGGACCGCGTGCCGCGCTCCGCCGTGGCCGCCGACGCGCAGGGCCGAGGGAAGCGCTCGCTGGCGCTCGATCTCAAGCGGGCGGCGGGCGCGGCGGCGCTGCGGCGGCTGTGCCGCGCCGCGGACGTGCTCGTGGAGCCCTTCCGCCACGGTGAGGCGGCCGCCGCGAGCCCCGACGCGGCTCTTGGGGTGCCGGCGGCGCGGGCACCCCGGGAAGGAGCTGGCGGGGGTGCAGAGCGGGGTGTCGCAGCCGCCGTCCGGCCTGGCCTTGTGCCCGGCCCTGCTCGGGGTGCCCGCGCCCCTCGGCTGCCCCCGGCTGCTCCCTTAAGCCGAACCCTAAAAGCTCCGTGTCTCCCGCGGCGTTTCCCCCCGGTTCATTTCTGTGGCGGTGACTGGAAGGACCCGGCCTCTCAAAGTAGTTTTTATCTGGTAGAAACACATTATTCAGTTCCACTGCTGTTCCCTTAACGCTGCTCGGCTATGCCGCTATTTACAAACTAATGCAACAGAAATAGACCCCAAGGGATCTGGGGATGTTGTGATGGGTTGTGAAGGAAGTGTCAGCAGTAGCTGTGGGGCAGAACAGCATTGAAGCCCCATCGAGGGGGTCCCTGSCTCCTTCCCCAGCCTGGCCTGGCTGCAGGCTGCAGGTCACGATGGGCTGTAGTCAGACCAAGGGTCACTGCGCAGATAAAAACTAATGTTTTGTGCCCAGATGGAGCGCCTCTCTGAAACCACTGTTTTAGAAATGCATTGTCAAAATATTGATCTTGATTAGTGATTAATGTATGCTGGCACAAACTATATTTGATCTCTAAAAGCTTATTTTTTACAAAAGGGAACAGACATGTTCTTCTGTTGCTCTTGCAGATTGTTTGTGCAGTGTGTAGTTGCATGATCGCTTTGCACTAGAGAGTTAAAGATGCAGGAAAACAAGAGGTGCTGAGGAAGAAAACACATGGGTTTTGCAAAGGAAGCATTTTCTAATGGAAGTTGGAAGTACTACTGGGAAAGTAAAAAAGGAGAAATGAGAAGGGGAAAAATAGAGGACCATGAAGCCTTTTAATTGGCTTGCATTCAAAATGCATGCTGTATAACATTCTGGCTCTTAGCATTATATTATGGATATTGAATTAGAATATGTATGTATGTGTATTCTGTATAGATAGAATGTTTCATAAATTGTTATTCTTTTATAGTGCAATTGACACTTATTTTTAACTGTGACCCATRTATGTTTCAAGTCTCATAATGCACTCCTTTTTTCACTTTTTCTTTCCCTCCTTCTCAGGTGTAATGGAAAAACTTGGTCTTGGTCCGGAGGTTCTTTTGGAAGAGAACCCCCGGCTCATCTATGCTAGACTCACTGGATTTGGCCAGACAGGAAAATACGCCAAGTCTGCAGGTCATGACATCAATTTTTTGGCATTATCAGGTAGGCTGAAAACATATTGTTTATTTTTTTTTTTTCTGTGAGTCAAGACTTAAGAATTTATTGAAAGATTCCTTGCAGATAGCTCAAATATATTGCTTGGTGAAGCAGCTGAGCTGATCTGAAGCCTTTCTGGCAAGAAAAGAGAGGTTCTGCCTTCATCCTTGTGCTTCTCTCTGCTCCCTTCTGTCCAGTGTGCGGTGCATGTTTGGCCCCTCTGTGAGCTGACTCAGCTCCTGAGCATGTTAAAAACTGACCCAGGAAAAATGGGTTGAGTTGGAACACCTCACTAAGAGGTTGGTTGGGCAAACATTAAAAAAAAAAAAAAAAAAAAAACAGCACAAGAAAGAGAAGAAAACTCAGGCTGGACAGGGCTGTTCATTTCGCAGCAGCAGTGAGCTAGTCTGGATCAGCGTGTCTTCTCAGACTGTAGTGTAATTTTCTCCCTTTGTGCTGTTTTATRTGAATATTTTTTTCTTTAAAGTGAATTGAAGTCTTTCTGTATTTTTATCTATTCTTTTGGGGCCTTTCTGGTAGAAAATCAGTATATTCATAGTCCTGGACGGGTTGCAGATTATTTTGCCTACATTGTGAGCAGCTGCTTTGAAATAAAGTAAAACTGCACAACCTACAAGGCATTATCTTGTGCTCTTCTGCTATGATTTTCTCTCCAATTATACTATTCCAAAGCAAAGCAGGTTTAAAATAAAGTTTTCTGTCTGCTACATTGCCTTAGAATATTGTAAGACAGTATGCTCATTTAATTTGTGATGATTTTACAGGTATGCAATACCAAACAATAACAAAATTACCCAATATTGATGGTAGTACTCAATCTGTGGTCGTGTATGGGCCCACTTGCTGCTTCTCACRCTGCCAGCACCATGTGTGTTTCTGTCGCTGACCTTTTCCAAGCAGGAGAGAAAGYGAGCCCAAATCTCCTGGTTTACTGCTGAATGCTGTATTTCCTTTAACCTTCCTTAACACTTTAAGAAGTGTCAGGGCAGAACTGCTAGAGATGTGGAGATCTGGTACCCCCATCTGTAGGGATCCACTCTRTTCAGCAGTGAAGTTTCTTCAGAGATGAATTCAGTCCTCACTCATGGCATTAGATTGTCAGTGTATAAAAAGAGAAAAAGAGACCTCGTTTGAAACACCTTTGACTTCATGTCTTCATGATTTTAAAAGTCTTGGTTATAGTTTAGTTTGTTACATACTTAGCGAACCAGTCAAGCATTGTCATCCATTGCAATCTTGGATGTTTTTTTTTTTTTTCCRATCAGTAYAGTCTTGGTTAGTGCTATCTTGTAATTGAGAAAGACCTGTTACAAGAAGGAAGTTCCAAGCAGTCAGGCAGGTCAAATTCTTTGGCGTTTCAAATTTAAAAATGTATCAGTACTCTGAAAGTATAAAAGGCTATGAGATTTCCAGGACAGAAAAGGAAATCCATTTCTTTACAGGAGCTAAAGAAAGAAGTGAGTTGCAGAACCTTTACTGCACTTACTGTTTCACTGGTAGTGTTTCTTTTGCTGGACATCCTGGTGTAAAAAAGGTCTGTTTTTAAACACATGAACTCTCACTTTGGAAAAAAAAATCTTCTTGAAGTTTCCCATAATCAGGTTTTCCAGTCAATTTAAAGGAAATAGGACAAGTTATTTGAGAGGTATTGGTGCTCAAAATTGAGGTGATCTCACATCTTGGCTATTTTCCGATTGGGTTTTGGCTTTTTGAAACGCAGAAATTGCTTACATTAGAAATTCTAGATGTAAGTTAGTATGTTAATATGCTGATGCATGTGACAACCATTAGTTAAAAGTCAAAGTTTGGTCATTGTCAGAGCTTTCTACATGCATTACAGTTCTGCAAACTTCCTTACACTGTACACTCATCTGCTTGCACTTGAGAAGTGCATTAKACCTTGATTAACCAAACAAGAATCATGCAGTTTTCGGGAAATTTTGACCTCAGGCTATAGACATAGGTGAGATACGATCTTTCTGGAGAGTTTCTTACTTCCTCAAAGGGAATTGTTATGAAGGAGCTTCAGAGTGAAGTGATAATGAAAAGATGGCAAAGAAATTCTGGCAGATGCAAAGCCCTTGTTTTCTGCATAAATTCTGGCAGACACAGTTTAATCAACAGGATTATGGATGTTCTGTTCTTTTGTGAATATGATTTTGTATATTCTTTTGGGAATAAAGACTTAACTGGAGTAGAATTGGAAACCAGTGTTGGGGGAAACTTGCATTGTCCCTAGTTTGCTCACATAGATTGTAGAAAATGATACTTTAATTGTAGGAATACAGAAACTAAGATTTATAATTACTGTGTTTGCTCTCAGGTGTGCTGTCAAAGCTGGGTAGAAAAGATGAAAATCCTTATGCCCCTTTAAACCTTCTGGCTGACTTTGCTGGCGGAGGTGTCCTGTGTGCAATGGGCATTATTATAGCCCTGTATGAACGTACCAGATCTGGCAAAGGGCAGATCATTGATGCCAGTATGGTAAGTTTTGTCTCGTGAGGAGCGTGAGTTCTTGTTTCTTTTCTACTCTTAAGTCTGTAAAAACAGTTAATGCTCCCACTCCACGCCGCAAAAATTACACTGCCATCCATAATAGCCAAGAAATCAATTTCAAATACTTGCAATAATAAAGCACAGCAGACTGTCTGCTATAGTCTGTGTATGCTTTATATGCTCACATAGCATATAAAGTATGTACACATAGTAGTATGTACACCTATATATAGTAATATATAGAAAGAGAAGAGTAAAAGAAAAGAAAGAAAGGCAACATGCAAGTTTATAACAGTTTAATCATGAATGCTGTGGATTTTTTCATTGTAAGGCCACTCAGTTGTCTATAGATGAAAAATATTTACATTTATCCTTGAAACCAATTGATAGTGTTATATACAAGTATTTTTTCTCACTTGCACTCTTTCCTTCATTATTTTTAAAAGGACACTGTGATTAAAATTTGACCTGTCTAGAGATATTATGATACAATGAAGGCTGTCATTTGGACTCTAAATTATAAAATTAAAAATCCCTTCATCATAAGAGATCTTGAGGCTAGAGAATGGCGACAGACATAATTTGTATTGCTTTTAACAGTTTTTTAACAGATTCACAGAACATTCTCAAAAGTAGGTCATGAAAATTGTCATGTCTAGATGAAAGGTCTAGATGAAAATTGTGTGGGAAGAGTGCAAAACTGGTCTAATCCAGTAGTTATTAATGGGCAGTAGTCAAAATGGAAAAAAAAAAATTAAGTGGAGTTCCACAGGGTGCCTTTTGTTCCATCAGTGTTTTCATCAAATGATGGACTAGAAGATACACTCGCTAATTTGAAGATGAAGTGAATCTGAGAGTAGCTACAAGCATGTTGGGTGAAGGCTTGAAATTGAAAATGGCCTTTACAAATTGGAGAAATGACCTGAAAAAGTTGACTGAGCTTCACAGCAACCACTGCTGAGTGTTCCTCCTAGGCAGAAGCGATTAGCTGCCCACCAAACACAGAGAACAATTGGCTAAAGTGCCATCCTGGGGTATATAGGAGTCACAAGCTGAACATGAGTCAACAGCACCACAGTACCATGCTGTTGTGAAACACACCAACACTGTGTTAGCTTGAATAAACAGGAAATAGAGCCGGCAACGTTTCTCAAGTAATTTTTCTGATCAGTTCCTCTATTCAGCATTTATAAGGCCTCAGGAAAATAGTGCCTGACACTGATGATCATTTTTTCTAGGAAAAATGAAAAAAAAAAAAAAAAAAACAGTTGGAGGAAGCCCAAAGAATATACAGCAAAAATGAGTGTGGGTCTAAAAAGCATGACCTGCAGGGGAAGACTGAAGTAGTTTGCATATTTGTGAAGTGGCAACTGTGAAGAGGTAGCATAAATCTTCAAATATGTACAAGGCTGGGTGTACTACCTTATCTTCTCTTATCTGTGCTTGAAGCCATTGAAAGAATTTGTTCACAAGAAGAACGAATGCAAGGCCACTGATATCCAAATGAGATCTCTGGCTAATTAGGAGAGGAATTTGTTGGGATTTTTTTTGTTTGTTTTTGTTTTAAACATCCTGGAAACTTCTCTCCCATTTTTTTTTCTTGTCTCAGTAGTAGTTGAGGAATTTACAGTTCCCTAGGGACATTCTAGGCAACCCCTGAAATGCTTATCTAGTGACACTGGTGACTAAGTTTTACCTAAATGTTAACCTAATTTGTTCACTTAAACAAACTTTCTGTGAGATACTTGATGAAAAACATACATGTGTCATCCACAGCAAACACAGCTAAAAAAAGCTGAGATGGCTGAGTCTGTTTCTATTTCTAAATTTGATTCATGGAAGTAGGTTTTTTTTCTTTTTAATAGCAGCATCAAAACATTTGGTCTTCCATTTAATTTTAAAGTTTTATTTAATAGTTGTATTATGCTACTGAATAGTTGAGTTAGTCTGAATATGAACATCAGGGAAGTTTCTATGGTAAAAGAGGGAAAATTATTTTTAATGTTTTTTTTTTTGTGAAGTTTCTTCTTTTGTGGAGAAAGAAGTATTGAAGAAGTATTTTACTGACCCACTTTCTTTTTTTTTTAATTGTAATGTACATGTGAGGAACTCCTAGTTAGCAAATCTGAATTAATACCAAAAGAGGATAGAGGAGTGGTGGAGCCAAGGGCTGGATTTGCATCATCTCTTCATGTTAGTCCAGTGTAATTGCCACGCTGCATAAAATTAGACACCAAGTCTTGCATTTTAGCTCAGCAGGATTAAACTTCTGGTCTGAACCAGTTTACATTAGTTACTGTCTCTTCTCATTGACTCTCTATAAACATGTGTATCTGATTACTGTTGCACACTGAGTAGGGTGCTGGCTGAGTACTGCCGTAGGGTACAGTCAGCTCAGGGTGCTGAATAAGGGTGACTCCTTAGGTCCCYTCAATATTCAGACATGGGGCCTCCTGCTCATAGAAGGAATCTGACCAAGTGTGGCTCACTCCTTGTGAAAGGAGCCACAGGAGAAGTGGTAATGGCCACTTAATATATAGCAGTCTCGTGGCCAGATCATTTCACTGTCAGACATAAGACGGGGCATCCAGGTTTTTCTCAGCCCCCAGGTATGGAAAACCAAGGCTGTTACATCCTAGAAAAGCTGCTCAGTCACAAGACTCAAGGTTAGGTTGGGGTGGGGTTTTTTTTCAGTCATTTTGTCTACCCCATTTTGCTGTGTGACAGGAACAGAAGAGCTGTGGTGTGAGGGGAGGCCACCAAGTAGTAAAATGCCCTGGGCCGCTTGTCCCTGCTTCACAGCTTCCTGGCGCTTGTGGCATTAGGATGTCCTTGGGCAAAATGCATATCCAGTAGTGCTGTAATCACCSTGCAGTTAACCTAAAGAGGAAGGCGATCACAGTGGCATGCGTGGAGTCAACTGAGATTGCCTTTGGGGTTCAGGGCAGAGCTTAGCCACTGTTTCACATGTCTCAGGATTGTGAAGGGGCTCGAGGACCTGCTGGATGTCTGCTTGCCCAGCCTGGGATACGTCTGAGAGCCAGTCGAGAAGAGATGCTCTTTTACTGTAATTGTATGCAAGGGTAGATGTTAGGGTCGGTAGGTATTCTGAATAGTTCTGATAAATTTAGACACCAAATTCACAGTTTATTCTGTTAGCTCACTGATTGTTGTCCTCGAGCCTGTTTCATGTAATTCTTTGCTAATGTGTGTGATGTAAGATATGATCATTAGCAAAGCAACCAGTCAGCTGGTGGTCTTGCAGTCGTTTGGCAAACGTGCAGGCGAAAGTATGTAATACTCTCACAGCGAAGTACCTTAATTCGTTTCAACATATGGCAACTGGGGCAAAAGTATTCCCAGCTTTGTGACAAGAACTTGGGAGGAGGGAGACAACCAATATACTTTAAATGAAGAAGCCTTCCTGACTCTGCATACTTGAAATTTACATCTTTTTAAAATTTATGCTTAGAAAGGTAGAAAGTTGTAGATATTTCTACTTGAAAATTTAGCAGCTTTATATTTTCAGCAGCTCTACAGACAATCTCAGAATAATTTTAGGCAGCTGAAAACACATGAAACAAAATCGTAGCTACTACTGCATTTGAACAGTTATTCCCATGTTTGGGAGGAAGACAAWTTCTTAAGTACTTACCAGTGGGAAGAGCGGGAAGTTAATTTTTTGTTCTAGTTTAGTGATCCAGATGAGCTTCCTCATTCACACAGTATGRAAGAGAACTTTAATTTCTGATTTCCTTTCCATTTTCTGCTTCTGAAAATAGCAGTCTTATAATCAGGTAAGCTCAAGATAAATTACGGGTCATCTATAAGGACTGGTATCAGCATCCTGCTTTCTACAGGCATAAGGCTTGCAGACTGACAGCTGATTAGTGTTCTAGATACCATCGCCTAAATGTGAACATGTTGTGAGTTGTTACAAAGTTGCTAATCTAGGAAACTGAAGCTGTGTTATTATACTTGTGCCCCTTGTTCCTTAATAGTRAGAAAAACTTGACATATGCGATACAAACTGTGCTTCATAAGTATAAGAAATGAAAATGCTTATAAGGTTAATCTTATAGTCTTAAACCCAGGTTGGACTTGCAGGTGAGTTTTTACAGTCTTGTTTCATGTTGAATTAAGGCAATATGTCAGCTGATTTATTGAAGCTGATGTTTATTTTTTTATATCTTGAAGGTAGAAGGCACGGCATACCTGAGTTCTTTTCTGTGGAAATCACAAAATTTAGGACTATGGAACAGACCCCGAGGTGAGAACTTACTGGATAGTGGAGCTCCTTTCTATGAAACCTACAGGACCTCCGATGGAAAATACATGGCTGTTGGTGCCATTGAGCCGCAGTTCTATGAGCAGTTAATAAAGGGTAAGTAGCTTGTAGCAGTTGTTTTGCATCTACAAAGCATGATTGAATAGATACTTTTAACTAAACTTTGATTCAAGACATTGGTTGTGTTTTTATCTTGGTTAAAGCCAAACCCTTTCTGAAACCAATTGGGTGGTGGTGGKTTTTTTTGGGTTAGTTCCTTCTTCTAGCACTTGATTTTGTACTTTTTAATCCCTCTTCTTCTGAAGTCATGATATTGCTAGTCAAAGATGGGGCTGAAGCCCTGTACAACTGTCTAAAAAAGAACTAATACAGCAAATAAAATTTCATACAGTTTCATATCTATTTGCCACACAAAAGTTTAAAGAAAATTTTATATTATTCTGAAAATGAATGTTCACTGGAAATATCCTGTAATATTTTTTGATAAATGCGACCTTTTCTAAAATGAAAATCTGCTTTATAAATTCTTTTTCACCACAGAACTTCAGAATGCTTTTAGAGTACAACTATGGATTTGACTTTTGTATTTGACAGAAGAGTTGAAAAAAACTTCATGAAGTATGACTTATATGTCTTGAAAAATTAGATTGGGTCATGCAAAATCATTACTTTGTAAGGTTAATACTGAAATTTGCAGTGCCCCTTTACCTTCAAACAAATTGCATAGTTTCAGGTTTAGACCAGGTGTGCTCTTAGTTTCAGTTTCTTACTGGTTACTTCATTTAAAAATAATTTCCTGTTATTTCCCTCTGATAAATTGTTATGCTTTCCATGCTGAATGTATGAAAGTTTTAAAAACCTGCAAAGAATTTGGGACTTTCTGAGTATTTGGGATATAAACTGTGTAAGAAATCCCTCTTAACCTAATTTTAGTTCTACTTATTGAGCAGGACAAAACCCACATAGGAGATGTACCTAGGCTGTGTTATGGGGTCACTTTGATGTGTAGATGAGTTAACGTGGTAGCTCTTGGTTGAGCAAAGGTGGCAGTGAAGCAGCTCTTGACTCCTGCTCAACGTTTCCCCACAAACTGTTACTGGAATTGCAAGTTGGATGCCTTCACACAGCCAAGTACTGCCAGGCAGCTCAGCCCCCCTCAGCTCTGTTGCACTGATGAGAGCATCAGCAGTGCCAGGACTTGCATTTCCAGAAGGCTTTGAAATTCAGGAACACAGTCAAGGTCTTAGGTGGGCACAGTCCTAAACTGGGAAGACATCTTCTGTTCTTTTTGACATTGCTTTTGCAGACATTGTGATCCCAGAGAAAGATTTGTGCAGTAAATGGCCGCTTTTATAAATGGCTATAAAGGACTGTTTATTGCAGAAAATTTTCATAATTGCAGAGTATATCCAAACTCTTATATGGTAGTTTTATGTATGCTGATGTATGCATTGAGCAGCCTCATAGACTGACTTGTTGACGTGTTCAACATGATGTTCTGCACCCAGATCAGATGCCAAGTTTGGGAGAGCTGTGTTTTGGGCTGATAAAGTTTTTGCTCCTCTTTCTCATTGTCCTGAGAATACCTTACCTGTTAGGCTGTAGATCTAAGCTACCCCTTGAGAAAGTGTAGTTGTTTTTTTCCACAGTTACTGGTTCTTTGAAATGTTATTCTCATCTAATCCCCTTTTGCTTGCAATAAATAGAGCCAGACAACAAAAATAATTCAATACAAAATTGTCAAAGTATATTTTCCCTTATATTTTCCCTTGTCTGAAAATAAGGGAATTTGTGATCCAGTACTTCTTCAGGCAGAATGCCCTTATTAAATACAAAGGAGGAAAGAAAAAAATTAAAAAAAAAAAAGTACTTACTCAAATACTCACTGTTTTGCCTAAAGTTCATGGGTGCAATATTTATTGTATATTTCTCTAGAGATTAATTTGAATAGCAAGTGCTTTTAAGCTACAGAAGTGGGATGAAAAATATACATTAGGAGGAAAACACAATCTGCAAAGGAGTCTRAGCTCAGGTATTTTACCCTTGTTCCTCAGTGAACCTTTCCTGGATGCTCCTGCCTTGCTGTGTTGATCACTGTTGCAGGCCACTGTATAAAGACTCAGGACTTCTCCTGTCAGTTGGAAAACTTGTCTAGGAGGACACCCTAGGATAGTTGATTCCGAAATTCACACAAATAATACAGTCGGACTGGTTTCTGTCTCCTGTAGGTAGCTCTCTACTGAGGAGCTTGTTGACATTCTGTTTTCCTTTTGATGTTTTCTCAGAAATTCGGGGCATAAAGTCAGAGCAGCAACTATGAATCCATCAGCCTATAGCATGGTGGACCCATATTTTTCAACTTTGTGTTTGAAAGTATTTGCTATACTTAAAACACACAAATGTGTTTGATTTTCAAAATATTTCACATGTTTGAAAACCATGAAAGACAAATGTATTTGCATGTATGCAGAAAAGCGTAATCACATTTGTGGCTGTGTCTGTCAGCATTTGTCAGATTCAAAAATTCAGCATGTAGACTATGGTCTTCTACCAAAAAAACATGCTTTTTTACCTTGAATGATATTACAATTTTTGCTTCCAGTCAAAAACTTTTATTTATTGATTTTATAAAAGAGTGTTATTGAAAGCTTCAAACTATAAGCAGAAGATTTTTTTCACAATGCTGCATTTAAAATAAATGGTCGTCTTCACTGTATTTTAAGTGCACATTGTGAATTGTTGAGGTTTTCACATAGGAAGTAATTATCTCCTTCAGTAGTTGTGTTTGTAAGCTTCTGAAGCAGTGATGTACCAAATTAGAACAGCTGATTTTTCTTGTAGCTAAGAGAGCTTTTTCCTTTTGGGAATATCTATTGCAGAAATCCAGTTCAGAATTTAAGCCTTTGCATGTCAGACAGAAGAAAAACCTGTTGGTGAGAACTGTCTGAATACTCCTTAAACCAAGAAACTTCAATTTAGACTGAGTGGTCTGTTCAAGGTTTTTATTCCCTGCTTGAAGTAGTTATAAAATGCTGTGTTCCACTTACAATTTCCATTATTTCATTTCATTCTTTTTTTTTTTTTTTCTCCATATTTCTGGTCAGTTCTGTTGGTGAACAACTTGGTGGTGTTCCAGATAAAACATAATCAGAAGCCACTTTATGTCCATCTGTTCATATTCAGAGAACGTGTTGCCTCTGACACTCCTGTATAACGAGAACATAAGGGTGTGGGATGTGCAGGACTAATGGACAAAGATTGAAAGATTGCAAATCTGGAAAAGGAACATGTTTTCTGCCCACAAAACTCTGATTAGCAGAAGTGAAAATAATTTCCTTTTTCCTTTTGCTTCACCTTAGTGGTTCCCCATAGAATTAGGAACCCAGATGGACCTAGATGAAAGTGCAGGTAATAAAATAGAAAGTACTTAAGGAGACTATACARTGAAAAATGTAAGGTTTAAGAAAATGTTGCTTCTTGATTTTGAACAAGTTTGCTGYATGGATCGTGCTTGCCAAGAAAAGTGAAATTTCCACTTAGCAGAAGGTCATGAGTTTTTCAGAACTTGGCTRTGAGGAAAAACTGAAGCTATATAAAATAGATAAGGTAAATTCTTATAACATCTGCAGTATTAGAAATTATATCCTGAACTCATTGTAGACTACTTGCTGTTCACAAACATGCTGTAATCATCTTGCTTGCACATTGCTACTAGTAAAGTCAGGCGATATATAATGAAAATACCTTGCATCTTATGAGAAATCTGATGAAAGAGATACGTGTTACTAAGGCTAGGTCTCCATTTTTTGATTAAAAAAAAAAAAAAAGACAATGTCTTCCAACTTCCAAATTGCTTCTGCAAGTTTATCTTGATTTTTAGCAATATGTGCTTACTTTCCTGTGGCCAGGCTAAGAGGAATGTGCAGAACTGGATGTTTTCATATATCAGGGAGAAGGTAAGGACGTGATTCTGTGTCATCATGTGGTGTAAATTCAGTTGCATAACAAGAAGTTAGTATAAACTTACATCGCAAACTTGGATGGCAGCCGTGGGTGCATTTGCAGTGATGCTGTGGTTCCAGTCTGGTTCTAATAACCCTTTTGATGAACCATCATTTTTTTTTAATAAAAAATGAGAGGCTAGGGAAACAAATATGGACTTACCTCAATGAAAATTCACTGCTCGTTTGGAATATTCTAAAGTTTAATTCCCTGTGAGAGTGAAAATGAATTACATTTGTGTAGAGCAGTGGTATATATTTTATGGCTGTAGATGGGGTCAAAATTAAGAAAAGCCATGCTTAGATGATTCTGTTGCCCTGTCATTACGATATAATTTGAAAATTACTGGGCCATGAGTGTATAGCTTGGCAAAGAAACTCAAAATACTAGAAGAAGAAAATCCCAAACAAAATCCCGCTAAGGATCCTAAATATAAACCACTGTAGTTGAAATACTGTGAGAAACTTTTATTTCTTTTTTATCAAATCAACATTGATGATTTATCTGTTGAATTTTGTTTTCTATATTTTGAAATAGATGCCTAATTTCACTGCAGTTGATCTGAGAAGTTCTGTAAAAAAGTTRTAATTTGCTGCATTAATCAATTGCAGATCTCAATATAGCTATAGCATACAAGGGAGACTGAATGTTTCCTTTTTTTTTTTCCCCTCCAAAAACCASAATTTCAAAGCTACAAAGTGGGATAAATTATTGGCCTTTTCTAAAGAAAAATCCCTAGATCAAAATCTGAACAGGTTTTGCTTGCTGTACCAGATTCTCTGCATAAAGGATACTTTGCTTTTGGTTATATTGGTGAAATATGTCATTCTGTGGTATCCCAAGCGGTTCTGCGCTGTGTAACTTTTTCCCTGTTGACTCAGTTGCTCCTGCTGCGATTCCGTTTTCTGCACCCCAGATGCTTCGCACAAAGTGGAAAATGAGAAGCCTCGGTGCTTAAAGGCTTTGAGTTCATACCGTTTAAAAGCTTCTGATGTCCTCAGTGGTTGGTGGAAAATGAGCATGTAATATTAAATTCCAGGTTCTGCATATTGTTCTTTTTAGCAGAGCATGCAGGGTTAGATTCGGCCAGTTTTCCATCTGGCGTAATCTTTAAGTATAATTGTGTAATGTGATAATGATAGAGTTACACTCATAATGCTCTGACTCCTAGAAGCCGGAACATAATTAGTAAGCAATCAATACTTATCAAATTGGTGTTTGCAGTTGGTGAGATTTCATGGACTGGGACAGAATCATGGCTAGTAGGTCATTGCTTAGCTTTCCTTGTTGTGGCATGTAAATTTTTGTCTCACCTCCTAGTTCTTAAGTAGAGTGTCTTGCCCTATTCATCCTTAATAATATATTCTCAGTGAAGATGAAACAAATTCATTTTGTGAGTATCAGTGGCTTCAATTTAATTACAGATGCGGAACCCATAAGAGTCATCTACAATTAATTCTTAGAATGATAAGAAGTGCTATGAAGAGAAGATTTTAAGTTTAGAGAGGGCAAGTACACGTACTTGGTAACTGAGTATGGAATAATGCTGACCTTTCAATGATGCTTAATTTGGTATCCTTAGGAACTTCTGTTAAGATATGAAACTATTGATATTGGTTGTATTGTTTTTCTTCTAAATTTGAACTACTGCATGGCAGAGTTTCTGACTGATTTCTGAAGACAATATGAAAGTAAGATTTAAAAGAATATATTCATTTTTCAAACACTCAAGAGTCTGATACAGCTGTGAAACATATTATGATACCTTTAGAATTTGGAAGAGACTAAGCTCCAAGAAGGACTCGTAGTAGAGATCAGATTATCAAGAAGAAGAATAAAGAGCAGATGAAAGTACATTATCTTCTCCCCTGTAGTAGTTACATTCTCCCATCTTAGTAGTTATGTTTCTGCCCCTTTTAGTGATGAGGAAACTGAGGAAATAGCAGAAAATACAGAAAGCTCTTTGTGCCTATCTACAGCTGAAGATGTGAGCAGTTCTGGGTCAGGTCTGCACGCAACAGCCATCTGGTAGGCAAGCCTGTTACAAACCCTGGAAGGCCAGTCATCAGTCTGACAGCAGTCACAGCAACAGAGATGAGAAAAAAGATTCCAAATYAAATGTTTCCAGAGCAAACATATCCTCTGCGGTTTTCACAGAACTGTTGTTTTCTAAGAAGTTCCAATTCTCTGTTGTCATGTAAAACATGATGATAGCTATTCTCAAGCCCATCGTAGGTTTGTAACTGTACATGTTTGCTATCCCTGCTTTTCCTGATATTTTTTCCCCTCCTTCTTTAAAGCTGCTATTGCTGTGACTATTTGGACAGCCCGTGTTATACCACTTAGGAATTCTGTTTGATATTATACACTCAGTATCCCCCTGTGTGCTACTTAAATTTTAAAAGTAGGCTTTAATTGCCCGCCTCTGTTTTTTGTTCCTTACAAGACATGTAAACAATTTTTGCATCTCCTAGATGCCAGTAGAAGCTCCAGAATTGCCATCATCTCCTAGATAGCTGCTGGAGTTGCTGTGGCACCTAATAAGGTGCCCGTTTTTCCAAGCCTGCACTCCCTGGGTGGGCAATACCTGATTGCATTGGCTCCAAACCCTGTAGCTCGCTGGGTGTCCAAGTCGGGCAGCTTTACTGACTTCTGGGATTTAAGCATCTTGTCGTAGCCCTCAACCTGTTCAATGGCTGGTTGCAGCAGCTGCTAAGTGTGTTACTGCTGCTGGATAGATAACACAATACCTATTACATCAGATGTTCTCAGGACAAAATGTTCTTTCTAGGCAGCTGCTACCCTTAGAAGACATTTATGCGAASAATTATTTATTCTATGTACTTAGTCAGAAGGCCATAGCTGATGCAGTCTAGTTTAAGAGCATGGCATTCTTCTTGTCTCTGCCTGCACCTCCTCCAGTTATAGATGTGAAGTTTGAAGTGACTGTAAGTATGCTGGGCAGCATTAGACTGCCTGCAAAATACTACTTTCTTGAAAAACACTTAGATTTGGCAGCTCTTGGCTTTTTCCACACTCCACTATTGTTAAATCTTGCTCTTTTTTTTTCTTTCCAGGCCTTGGGCTAGATTCAGATAAACTTCCTAGTCAGTTGAGTTTCTCTGACTGGCCCAGAATGAAGAAAATGTTTGCATCCATATTTGCACAGAAGACACAAGAGGAATGGTGCAGCATATTCGATGGTGCTGATGCCTGTGTGACCCCTGTTTTATCCTTTGATGATGCTGTCTCACATCAGCATAACAAACAAAGAGGTTCTTTTATCAAAAATGATCAGGAAGAGATAAGTCCTAGACCTGCTCCTCTCCTTTCACGGACCCCGGCAGTTCCATCTTTTAAAAGAGATCCTTTTATAGGAGAACACACAGAAGAGATACTTCTAGAATATGGATTTAGCAAGGAAGAGATTGCTAAACTGCATTCTGAAAACGTAATTGAATTCAGTAAACCAAAAGCTAATTTATAATCTCTAACTGCGCCAATCAGAAGAATTTCAGGTGGATGCAGTAAGATATTATGCATTAAAACTGAATTATATAGCAAATAATGTTTGTATGATATCACTTTTAAGTGAATGTTTTGAATGAAGATTTAAATTTAATTGACAACCTATACAACTGGGTGACTTGYACTAGAGTATACAAATCGTGTTCTTAATAAATGTAGAATGTTGCTAAAATTGTGTTCTGGCAATCTGCAGTGTTTGTTTACTAAGCAGATGTAAATCCTCATAATATTTCTTTAAATAGCATGCTCTGCAAAATGGTTATTTCTTTTCATTTGAATTCTTAGTTACATGCTTGCTTTGTAATACAATTTGTAATTACCTGAAAGTAATACTTTTCATAAAATATAGTTATATGCTTCATAAATGCCTGATTGTGTTGTTTACTCATAGATTGGAAGGGGCTTTTATCTCTATTGTGCTGATTYGTTTGCATTGTCTTGCCAGACAGTGGCCCGAATAATGAGGCTGTTTCTTTGTGCTCTGCTGTAGAGTTTGCAGGATGGTTCTATTTAAAAGCCTGGCTACGTTTTCTTAATGTGGTGATTATATTACATTTGTAATTTCACTTTGCCTGGAAAACTGCTTTAGGATGATTTTTTTGTTGTTGTTGTTTTAAAATAGTTGCCAAGGATTAATCCTTTCCTTTCTTTTTGGAAAAATGTAAGAAAGCTTAGCTGCACAAGCTTTAARTAATGGCAATTCCATGCTGGGGGTTATTCCCTTCAAAATTACAGGAGTTACATGAAGCAGCCTGTGTTTCTTCAGCCTAAAAACACTTGTTTTTAGAATAAAATATGTGCCCTTAATACAGTTTTATTTAATTAGGCATCTCAGGAATTATATTACAAGGAGTTGCTTATTTTTTATATTGTAGTTTTTACCTCACTGAGTATAAGATCGTTACTTTCCAAATCTTCCAGAGCTGATGTATGTGTATTTGATATATGTCATGCCAAAGTGTCAGCCTTATTAATACAATAACTACCTTTTTACATTTTACCACATAAATACCTGCATGAGAACAAGAGTAGGTCCTATCTGCTAACTAGGTCCTAACTACTAGTAGGTCCTAATCAGGTAAGCAAATAGCAAAAGGTGTTTTAAGTTTTCAGCTGCTAACTACTCTAATGAATTATTGAGGTGTTTGCAAAAAGATTTGACAGTTTTCTCTGTGCCAGGTGTATCTGATTACATCAGAACATTAAACACCATCAGGTGTAATCTGCAGCGCATCTAGGTTTTGACCCAACACGAGTGAAGCCAATTTATACACTCCTCTTAAATTCAGCATAGGCTGGATTAGCTGTGTCCTGTGGGTGGCTGAGGGGCAAGGTTTGGATTTGGTTGGTTTCTGTTGAAGCCTCTCATCCTCTTGCCAGGAATAATACTTGTTACATACCAGGTGAGACTTTTAAAAAAATAGGGGATCGTTATTCCCTTTGTTTTTTTTTTCAGAAACCAAGAAAATTGGTTGCATTGAGGAGATCACACAACTGACATGAGAGATACTCAGCAGTTGCCTTTTGACAGACTTTTGTCAAGCTTTTTTATCTGTCACTAACGCTGTAGGGTAATAGGTTGGCTCACTTATCTTCCTAAAGTGCCCTGAAATCCCTTCCTGAATATAGGTTTATAGATGCTTTTTTCTGCTCTTTTCTAGTGRCAGGAATGCTGCTCGCTGAACGGGGAGAGGGCTCTAGTCCGGGTGGCATCGTTGCCTTGCGGGACGTGCAGGAGCAGCTCGCGTGGGGCTCCCGCGGCGCCTCGGCACGTGATGCAGGTACCCGCGTGGGCGTCCCACACCTCAGCAACCCTCGCGTGGCCCTGGGCAGCCGGAGCTGCACGGACACCCAGGAGGGCCCATGTGCCGATGCCGACACAGGCTTCCCCGCCCCCTTCCTTTCATAACTTGTGATCACGGAGCCATGAAAGTATGTGAGTCCCTCCCCCGGCGCCCGCGAGCTCGCTGGCCATATGATCTGGGCTCCATGTCAGCCCGAGCAGGCAGCTCTGCCCTCCCCACCGGCCGGCCTGCGAGCTGGACTTAGCCACAGCGATGACCTTGACGAAAGAGAGTTTCTATGGGGCTCTTCTACCCCGTTCCGAGGTGGCCGAGGTCGGTATGGACAACCCCAGGGAGGAGGAGAAGGTGACGCCGCAGTCTGTGGCAGTGACTGGATTAGCAGAGCCGAGGAAGCAAGGGACTAGGAGGCTGGTCATGCACAGCATGGCCATGTTCGGCCGGGAGTTCTGCTACGCCGTGGAGGCCGCCTTCGTAACGCCAGTGCTGCTCACTGTAGGGCTGCCCAAGAACCTCTACAGCCTCGTGTGGCTCATCAGCCCTATCCTGGGCTTCGTGCTGCAGCCCGTGGTAGGTTCAGCCAGTGATCACTGCACCTCTAGCTSGGGCAAGAGGCGACCTTACGTTCTGGGTCTGGGCGTCATTATGCTGGTAGGCATGGCTTTGTACCTCAATGGGGACATGATGATCTCAGGTGAGTGAGGGGCATGTGCTGTGCTGAGTCAAAACGCGTTCTAGCCTTTGAACCAAAGATTTCTGATAAAATTGGGCATTATGTTACTGAGCTCCGTAGAGGAGCTGAGGAACAGAGCAAGCTTTAAACCAGCTGGGTCCTGATATTGACCATTAGACWGTTCCGTGATCTGTGCATGTGATTGCTGTGTGCTCCATGCTGATGTGATTGCCCAGCAGTTCATCAAAGTCAAGTGGTGCTTGTGCCCAGGAAGGGTTTTAAGAACTGAAATTGTCATATTAAAATTCATATTAACAATGGATGTTGCTTGTATGGTGCAGTACACATCCAAACTGAATGTATATTAATCCCTATATAGGATTGTGTTGGTATTTAAAATATATAGCCACAATTATTACAGCACCAACTTGACTCAGGGATGGGTTGTGTTTGTGAATAATAGAAATCAGCAACTTTCTGGAAGCTGCTGCAATGGGATGTGCAAAATCAAGCAGGAGTGACAGCTCCAGATGCTGATTTTGTTGCATTTTAGTTTCAGCTTTCTCAAAGCCTTGATGGAAGGTTGTTGTCATTGTGATTTGACAGTTGGGGGGAGGAGTATGTCCTTATAGATTGATTTATCCTCTGTCCTGKGTATCTCTTATCTTGCATATACTAGTGTTTATTTGCCCCAGAAGAGTTGTTTTACTAAATTTGTGTTAATGTAAAACACTGGAAGGATGGGACAAATAACATAAAATAAAATGTGATATAGGCTACTAGAGCATGCAGTGCACATGTAAAGGAGGAAAAAAAAGTTAGTGATGCTTTTGATCACAGAGCTTGCAGTGTGCRGAGCGTGTGCCGGCCCAGGCAGTAAATCAGTGCAGCCTGGCCCAGGCTGCCCTAGCTCAGCTRTGCTGCGGCTTGGGTGCCAGCTGGCGCCGCTGGCAACAGCTCTTATGCCACTGCTCTCCCGGAGATAACTGAGAAATGATTACATTTGGATGTACCAGGAAAGATAAAAATGTGTTTTTCTGCAGAACATGTCACTGTTGTGTACAGAAAAGTGCTTGTGAAGCAGGTGAAAGTTGTCAGAATGAGTTTTGTTTTGCCTTTTTCCTTTCTGTAGCTTTCATTGCTGAGAGAGAAAAGCGGCGGACGTGGGCCATAGTGGTTACCATGCTCGGAGTAGTGCTTTTTGATTTTGCAGCTGACTTTATTGATGGCCCCATCAAAGCATATTTATTTGATGTCTGCTCTCATCAGGAGAAAGAGAAGGGTCTGCATTACCATGCCCTCCTTACAGGTACTCAGATCCCTTCTTTGCCTTCCTGCCTCTGGAGGGAAGGGAGGGCAGTTGCATGCATTTTGTTCTGTGTTTCTAATCTTGAATGAAGGGATCATCTGATCCTGCACTAGAGTCACGAGGCTTTTGTTGCTGGATTTTCACTACTCCAAAGAACAGCAACTTGTGATTGCTGCTACAGGGCTTCTCCAGCAGAAGGCTAAATATTTACAGCGACAGACCCGAGGTTAAATTATGAGCAATTAATTGATTTGCAAAGCAAACATGGTGTTTATTCAGCTTGTACTGATTTTTCTTTAAGCTTTTAGTGAAGCAAAAATTAAGGAATGCAGCTTACTTCCTTGCCAGAGAAGGTGAAAAATAMATGTTTTGGCTCAGTATGCGACACAGAGCAAGCCATGCACAAAGCTGTACAGCTGGTTTTCCGTTTGTCACTAATGCTTCCATATATGCCAGCCTCTCATATAGAGATAGAAGCCGCCTTGTGTAAAATTCATAGTTTCATAACTTTGACAAAACGCTATTGAGAAGCTCAGTGCAGGCTCCTGCTTCATTTACTTGCACTTGCACRTGTTTTGAAATGTTGCTGTTACTTGGTCCAGCACCTTGGGCTCTCTATAGCAAGATAATCCGCACCAAAACCCTTCSTCATGGTTAATTGTTCATAAAATCCTCCAGGGATAGAGATTCAGCACTTCATTGGCCTTGTTATTAGGCCTTTTTTCAGAAAGACGTGTTTTAAAAACTGAGTTATTTCAGCTCCCAGCTTAATTCCTTCTTTTTACACGGAATCTCCCCGATTTTACTCTTGAGATTGCCTTCRTCATTTTTAAGGTCCAAATGTTAAAACATATTTTGCCGTTAAGGATTTATGAGCACTGAGAAAAGCAGAAGAGATGCTGCATGTAACAAGTGCTCAACACTCAGATTATGTGTTCTGGCATCATGATTACTTTTTGTCAGAACAGTATATAAAGATGATCTGAAATATAAAACATTCTCCACTGTGCAACACTTTAGTGTTGTTTTAGTTCAGGAAGATATTACCAGCTTAATTRCTTTTCCTTAAAAACAAGTTAGGATCCAGTCTGTCCAAAACTTGGTGGAAGGAGCAAGGATGCAGTCCCTCTAAAATTCAGTGGGACGCAGTGAAGAAAGGGCATAGCCAGACCTAAAAGGGAAAGAAATACAGAATGCAAGTACAATCACATGGTTATTAGGTCAAGCAGTATTATATGAGAATAATATTCTCATAATAGTACTCTCTTTACCTTTACTCTGATGGGTTTTTTTGCTCATTTCCTGAGATCATGAAAGCCAGTAAAAACAAACTCACATTTTATTTGTTCTTTTTAATTTTCCTTTTAATAGAGGTAAGCTGCTTGGATTGTGATGGTTACCAAAAGATGTATTTTATTTCCTTTTTGAAAATTTTACATGGAGGCAGTATTGCTTTTTGTATTCAGTATAAAATACGTTTTAGAAGGTTTAAAATCCTGGTAGTCCTGATGTAATACAAAAATTACATTCAGTCTGTTTTGTAGTCCTTTATATTCATGGCACCCTAAAAACAAATTGCTGTAGAATTTTACTTTGTATTGGATGCTGTTTCAGAGAAAAGAAACCCTCAGAAAAATGTTTCTGAATCAGGCTTAGAGAATAKTTGCTAGAAGAGGGGTGGAGAGCCCTGTTGCTATAAGTTTAGCTGTTTCATGGAGAGCTTTGTCAGAGGGATTTTTCAGGATATGTTTGGCAACTKCTCACATGTGTGATTAGCTCAGGGTTATAATTTCTTGTGTTTTTCCCACGTATGCTGATAACTGAAGGGCATTATTCAGTGATGTCTAGAGAAGATCACACATAAAGCATATTCTATATTGTTCATTTATTTTATAAACTCTAGTATTTTTTTTCCTCTTTCCTGCTTTTTCCCCCCTGCTCTAGGCTTGGGAGGAGCCCTAGGTTACCTGACAGGGGCTGTGGACTGGAGTAAGACCATGCTGGGACATCACTTGGTATCTGAATTCCAGGTGATGTTCTTCTTTGCAGCCTTAGTTTTCCTTGTCTGCCTCGTTGTACACTTGTGCAGTATCCCTGAAGTCCCCCTCAGATACGAAAGCGAAGAGACCAAGTTCTTGCTGGAAGTGGATGATGAACCCCATCAGTATAAATCCATAGAGGAAATCAAGAATGGTTACTTAAAATCTGCATATTCTGAAATAAAGGCCACACCTAAACCAACGAAATCCTCTGGTCCATCACATACAGAGGTAAGTGCAGAGATGATTTTGTAACCCGCGTCCTTTCAATCTTGGAGACCACCAATTCCCCCTTTCTAATGACCCTTTCTTAAAAACCTGTTGATGACTATTTGAAATGGAGCCCTGTCTCAGAAAATCCTCTACCAGGGTATAGAGTGAGCCTCTCTTTAGTCTGCTTCCTATTTCATTTTTTATACAGTAGTTTTAATAGAAGGGACAGAGATAGACTGGTCTTGGAGGCTTTGARCATTTTGTGGGCATGTGGGAAAACCAGACTGGAGTTTCTGCTCYGCACTGACACAGAGCAGAAACTCCTCACATCCTCCTCATGTGTTTTTCCTCAAGAGGATGTAGTTTGTCCTTTAATCTCTATAGAATTCACAACATATTGCGAACATGAGCTAGATATCATGAGTCTTTGATATAAATCTGTAGCTTCCATTGAAGTCAMCACCACCTACATATGTAGTATATGTGAAGTGCACCCTGCTCTGATAAATGCTGCAGTTAGGCTGCTGCTCAGCTTTCCAGCAAGCATTTCTTGGCCACACTAAAACAGTTAAACTCCTATTCAGTTTTGCAACAACATTGCCCCCTTCCAAGGTTGTTTTTTTTTCTTTTTGAAGCTTTTTGATTTTTTTTTAATATTTCTAAATACAAGAAATTATATTTTTCCATAGGTAAAACTCTGTTAAGGATTAGCTGCAATCTTTTGAGTTTGAGCTGAGCCCTTTCTCCCCAGGGATGAGGGATTCAGGTGTTGGCAYTCACATTCTGGACTGTGTATCCTATGCAGGATCAGTCTCCCAGCTTCATGGGGAGTAGATGGTGCTTATGGATCTCATGGTGAGGATGCACCAGAAGAGGTGAAGTTTCCTAGGGAGTTTAACACACAAGAGGGAATGGGAGCAAGTTCTCAGAACCAGCCAAATTCTGAAGAAATATTTTGTTTTCCACTTTTTCCCTATGGTAGCTSTAAATTTTCAATGGAAAGCTGATTGTTTAGGTGAAGATTTTTTATTTTTGAAACTCTAATTTTTCACTGAGGATCTGTTTTGGCAGAAAATTTTCTCTTGGTTCAACAAATAAATAATAATCTCACTGATGGCTTGTAACAACAGGAAATGCTTTTATCATTAGTGATGTACCCCAGCTCTCCCAGTGTCTCTGTGAATCTTTCAGATGACTTTATTRGGCATTAGCTCTGACAGATAGAAAATATATTGAAGGACTTTCAGTACCCAAGCAACCCCTTCTAGCGAAAACAAATAGAAAACTTAGGAAGCTTGGCGTTAAAACTGTGATGAGACCTTCTCCATTTGCTCTCAGCTATTTTAATAGCCATCATGGTAGTAATACAGTATTATTGTTGAATAGTTTATTGTTAACCACTGTTAAATATTTGTGTTTAGACTCAGCCGCGGATGACCCTTAAATCTCTCCTGCGGACACTTCTAAGCATGCCRTCCCACTACCGCAACCTCTGCGTGAGCCACCTCTTTGGGTGGATGGCTTTCCTCTCCAACATGCTCTTCTTCACAGATTTCATGGGGCAGGTAAGAATATGAAATGCTTTACTTTTCTTTACTCGTAGCATTTCATCCTCCATTAAAAAAAGAAGCGTTATAAACGTGAGGAAATGACGGTGATGTCAGAGCAAGTTATGCATGGAATGCCCAAAGAAGAGTTTTGTGAAATGGCTAGTTGCTCACAGGCCCCCATTGCGAACTGGGGTCTGCTGGGTGTCAGGCTCTCTGTGTTTGTAAGGGGGTTTGTGTCTGTTTCACTCTTCAGAGTGACTCCCAACACAGCCCTGACCTGCTCTGGCTTCAGGCAGCTGGAAGTGGATGGTTGGGTGACTGAGGAATCACAGATGTTGCTCAGGCCCCATTTTGGAGCTGTGCTCCCCAGCACCGCGTCCCTGTGCCRGGCCCTTCCTACAGCAGCCTCAGTGGCCTCGGCCTCTGCAAGTCTCTGCACTCATTGACCTGCTCGGATCTGCAGCCCAAGGCTCCTGTTACCTTGATCAGTTTGACTGTCCCTGTCATATCTGTTCAAACACTTCCTGGACGAGTCTCTTCTGCCTTCACAGTACTCCATTACTCAAGTGATGCTCACTTATCACTTGTGAGCCTTCTTCTCTTCCAGCACCAATCCTGTCACTTTCTGTCGTCCTGTCTGCKTTTCTGTTGTTTCCAGCCAGTATCCCATATTTCCTTGCCCCTTTTTTTCCCTCTACCTAAGAGGGAGTTTTTGTTTCTAGTAAAGAATTTTTAAAGAAAACTTTAAAGAAATGTTTACTTTAAACTTTACAACAACTTTCAGAAAAACAACTTTAAAGGAAAAAAAAGTGTTTTCCTGAAAAAAGAACTGAATAAGAGACTGACTTTCAGAGAGACTGGGGGGAAAAACAAGTGTGTGGGAGTAAGCCTGAAAGGAAGAAACAAAACACACATACAAAAAAGATCAATTGCAGAATTGGNAAGGAAAGAGAGTCTAAGACAAGAAAGCAGGAGTGGAGCAAGAAGAATGTCCCAAGGATGAGACCTTGGGGTGCCACGTAGCTCTAGTAAGGAGATATTATATGTGTGCATCCTAAACGTGCCCTCTGTGGTCTCTCTCAGATCGTGTACCAGGGCAGTCCCTACGCACCTCGGAACTCCACCCTTTACCTTGCCTATGAAAAAGGAGTGGAAGTTGGATGCTGGGGGCTGTGCATTAACGCGGTTTCTTCATCACTCTATTCTTGTAAGTACTCTGGAGTGCGTTCTGGCATTGTTTCACATTTAAACTTAAATGCTGTGTTCTTCTTCTTGGTACGAAACCTATCTCTTAACAACTCCTCCTGATGTGGGTCACTTAACAACGTCCAGGCCTCGTGATGTGGGTCACTTGGGGAGAAAGGCATTGCCRTATATGTGGACTGACTGTGAGCATTGAAAGTCATCCTAAACTTAAACACTYAAGTAAAATGAATGTTGTGGGCATATTCTAAGATGCTGTTTATATAGCCCTCACGTAACTGTATGTTGTCAGGAGGTCTCTCTGATGCTTCTCCCTGTTTGCCTGCCTTCCTCACTGAATAACTTTTTCACAATGCAGTAGATTTTCTTATCAAAAACATGAACTCTGCTCTGCAGACTCGTGTGTCAACGTGCCAACCCAGTTTCCCAACTAGAGAACTAAAAAAAATTGTTTGCTACCCAAACAGATAAATTGATAACATTTTGGGAGATGAATTCAATATCTAAAGGAGGCTTGATGGAAATCTTTTCTCCCTTGGATCTTAAACGTAGATATTCATGTAGCAGCCCTCCTAGCTCAGTGAGGGGGATATTGCCAAAACTTGTGTTATAAGCAAACAGTCAGTGTTGCCAGCAAGGGCAGTTCTTACAGGATACCTGGCAACTAATTCTCCTCTGGACTTGCTTAACTYGCAATAAGAGTACTCCCAGAGAGAGGAATATCAGGAAAGGGAGTATCTGCTGCAGCTTTATCCTTGCAGTAACCTGAAGCAACTTCCAAAATTCTTAATATTTTTCTCTTCATTGTATCTTACAAAAGGAAGCCTCTTATACTTCTCATCATTGTTTTCCATTTCTTTTTGCAGACTTGCAGAAAGCCCTTCTGCCATATATAGGATTAAAGGGACTTTACTTCATTGGATACCTACTTTTTGGATTAGGTACTGGCTTGATTGGCTTGTTTCCCAATGTCTATTCCACCCTGGCTCTGTGCTCCCTCTTTGGTGTCATGTCCAGCACACTGTACACGGTGCCATTCCACCTCATTGCAGAGTATCATCAGGAAGAAGAGGTAAGTTCAAGGCCTAAGGAAGRGTAAATTCGTATCTTGCAAGGACTGTTCAATCTGTTTTGGGGGAAAAACAGATGGATGGATGGAATTGGAGGAAAGATATTAGTAATAGTTTCAAATTCTTTATGGTGATGCAGATGCTGTAAGAAGAAAATTTCTGACAGAGACCAGTTCAGGACTTTAACATTTGAAGATGGGTTGTAGCTCTATAGTACTTTTGTACTATGGGTTGTAGCCCCTTTTTTTTTTTTTTTTTTTTTTTCCCCTAAGATCCCATTCCAAAATCTCCAAGTTCAGTAATGCATTACAACAAACTATTACTTATCATCACAACTGAAACAAAGATGATTCCAGGACATGTTCAGGCAGTGCACAGACAACAGGGCTTCAGATGAGGCTGTAAGTGCTGCCACCCTGGGAATCAAACCTAAGGCACAGCAGTGCATATACATGTCTTTGCTTCCAAAAGCAAAAGGATGGACTGGGGCTCAGATTGATCAACTCTGCCAAACCTGGGTTCAGGAAGGCTTAACCTGTTCATATTAGTGTAGACTTGACTTTTGAGTCAAGATAGAACTTTTGAAGACAAGATAGAAAAAATAAAGAGGAAACATAATCTTGCATTCATTTGCACCTTCAGGTACTTTGCTCAGAACAACTGGCACATAGGGACACTGGGCAGAGCCCAGCAGAATAGTTACAATTTAAAAAAACTACTATATTTAAAGTTTGAAAGACCTCAGATGAAATGACAGTATTRACTGCAAACAAAAAGTAGACAAAGTATTTTCCAGCAGTACACATCCTATCAAAGCCACGTGCTGCATTTTAAAATACTGGCCTCTCAGTTCCTTTGTGTGCTCCTGTTCCCTAGGATCCAAATTCAGTTTTGTGTACTGGATTTGGAAAAGACTAACTGTTTTTCTCCGATACTTGTGACCTTTGTGCATTAACATCTCAAAAGCAATGTGAGAAGGTCRTGGGAAAAGCAAAAAGCATCCTAACAAAGCCTGTGCAACAAGAACTATAAATATGTAAACTGGCAAATAATTTCACAACAAAACCAGAATAATTCTTTCTTGGAAGAGTTGCTTATACATGATAAATGAAACCTTTGCTCTGCTGCAATATCCTTGGAATATCATTAGTTGATAATGGATTTCTGTAATGTGGAATCCTAGTCTGGGTATTGCTTTCAGATCATTTTTTTCCGCAATAAAACCATTATGTTAAGATGTTAGTAATGAACTTTTTTTTTGAGCTTTGAAGCATGACTTCAGAGCATAGGGCTCCATAACAAGCAGTTCTGGTCTGTCTGTGTGTGGGATRTTTTAGATGACTCTTCTTACCCTGCCATCCCCTGGGGCACTCCTAGGGCACATGAGGGTTACAGCTAACGTATCCTTGACAGGGTRTTCTGTCCTGTGAAACTCTCTCCTTGTGCCAGAGTTCAAATAGACCCAAATGTCAAGCGAAAAACGATTTCTTACGAGGTTTCTTTTCTTCTCCTGAGAGAAAGAATGGAGAGAAGCAAGGTGGCTGGGAGAAATGGGACAGTTTGAGGGAAGCCTGGGTAGCTTACTGTTGCTTGTAAAGGCCCTGAGTGTAACCTCAGGGCCTGGCAGAAAAACAAAGATGGGAAATAGGGACCTGTTGTCCTGCCTTGCTGCCCCTGGGGCTGGTGACAGCATTGCTGCCCGTGGGCATCATCTGAGGGCTGCTGGTCAGCGGTGTTCGTATGAAACCACACTTTGCTTTGTGCTTGTTGGCAGAACCTGAAGCTGCAGGATGGAGAGCAAGCCGGGACGCCCGGGCGAGGGAAGGGCATTGACTGCGCTGCCCTCACCTGCATGGTGCAGCTGGCCCAGATCATTCTCGGCGTGGGCCTTGGCCTCCTGGTCAGCGTGGCCGGCAGCACCGTCACGGTGATCTCGGCATCCACCGTGGCGCTCGTCGGCTGTTGCTTTGTTGCCTTTTCRGTTCGATACGTGGGGTAAGCAGCGCGGGAGCGTTTTCCTCCTGGTTCAGGAGCACTGGTGCTGGTGCCATGCTGAGGTTGCTGGCACGTCCTCTGCTTTTACCTCCTTGGAATGATTGCAATTCCAGAGCGTTTCTTGTCCACAAAGTGGAGACTCTTGGTAAAGCTGTCAGCCTAATGCATCAAATTGAAATTTTCTCTATTTTGGCTACTCTATTACCTCCTTCATACTCAGACCAGAGTATTAACACGCTATTGCACATTATGGCTTGTTTGCCTGTAGTGTCCTGATACCCTACATGAGATCATTAAGATATTTCTCATTGTCAGTTTGTGGAATTTAATAAATGAAGTGGTAAATTGAAGAAGTAATAAAAATGGACAGAGTTAGGATGAAAGCTCTTGCTTATATTATTTTTAAAATATCTGAAAAGATTGGGCTGCTCCTTTTAGTAGACAAAAGTTGYAAGAGGATCAAACAAGTGTCAAAGTCTGTAGGGCTGTAAGGTTATGAATAGCAGTTTTGTTAAATGGGATTAGTTGCTTCCCAGCTACCATCAGAAGCAAAATGGATTTTAAAAAGATTGAAGGCTACTGCTTCAAAGCATAACCCGTTACAATAAAGTAATTCTTTTACAGTGCATTCTGCTGCTTATGTATAAATTAAATGAAAATACTTGCCAAGCTTGTCATAAAAGTCTGCCTAAAGTCACTCTGCCAATCCATGTTCAGGCACGTAAACAATCAGGCTACAATTTCTTCATTCTTAAAAAATCTGGCCCCTTGACCTCAGTACTTCAGTTAGAAGAATAATCTAGGCCAAAATAAGAACTTTATGAATGTTTGTAAGTCACTCAACTCTTCATATTGGGTATCACAGTATATACCTTAATTAATGTAGTATCTGTTTTCTCTACATTCCTGCATGTGTCTAGCTGTGACTGAAATGTTTTTGCTCCCTACAGAATATTGCAGATTGATCCAGTTCTGAAAAGCATTATCATGAACTGTTGTACAGACCTCTAACCAATACTGTAAACACTCAAGTCAAATTATTTGTATTTAAGTGAGCATGGAGCTTCATTCTTGTTGTTATAATATCCCTAGAGCTCCAAAGGTCCCATGCTTGTGAAGGTGAAATGCTGTATTTATACTATGCATCCTCCATCCTGAAAATTTTYGAGTCCATTTACTATCTTATGTGCTAAGCTGCATGTATTCATCCGCTAATACAGGATTATTAGTGAAGAGAGTCAGATTGTTGCCAGATATGTCTCCCTCATTGTTGCATTTGTTCAGTCAAGGCTGTTCAGTCATTGTCATCCTCACTGTTGAGTAGCCCTGCCTGGAAGTACAACTATAGATATAAATGGTTCATGTGGGCATGAGGATGTCTCTGCACAGGTGCACCAACTTCATCCTCTTGATTCATAGAATCATAAATTCATTAAGGTTGGAAGGGACCTTTAGAGGTCATCTAGTCCAACCCCACTCTTTGTTTTTTTGAAGTGAATGGTGAATCATTTATTCTCAGGAAAAACRAAACAAAAAACAGGTCTCCTTTAGAGTAAACTCTTACTAATTTTAACAAGCCCATGGAAGACTCATCTGCCTTTCAGTGTGGATGACTGTGCCTCCCTGTATGCCCAGAACAGGGCTCCATGCATGGCAGACATTGCCTTTCTGCACAGCCCCTTCCTCCCTCCTGTGAAAAGGCCACAGCTCCTTTCCTTCTGTGGCTCTTCATTAATCCTTCTCATGTCACATCCCTGGAAGAGCAAAGCTTGCGAAGGTGAGCCCACACCTGGACGATGCTCAAACCACTCTGTAAAGAGGCTGGGGTGGCCGGGAGCACAAGGGCCTCAACTGGGACACACAAGTGAAGGCAAAAAAAGGTGGGACAAACATCTCATTGTCATCACTAACTCATTCACTCGCCTTAACTCAGTAGTATCTCACAGGAGGAAGAATTTTTAAGGGAACTGTAGGATAACTAAGGGTAAAACTTTGATGCCAATGTGAGGCCACAGAAAGGAACCTTGAAATGTTTACCTCTCTCTTTGTCAATACTTTCTTAAAGGCTTAATGACATCAAAGCATGAAAATTTGAATGGTCTGGAGTCTCTATCTTGTGTTACACAAAGAACAAGCTGACATCGATCCAGACCCGTGGCCTGACTGTAGATCTGTAGGGACAAACACTGAGTGTGAGCCTGCAAAGAGAAGGTAGATGTGAACGTCATTTATCGATAGTTCTATTTAGAAATCCGTTCAGAGGTGGCCTTTTCAAGAGGTCAGGTTATCATCTTTCTCATGATCCTTCCTTTTAAAATTAAATTATGATGGTGCTCATTCTGAGGCCATATTTCGGATATTGATTCTGAGTATATTTCAGATGCCAGTAAAAGCTTTTTAAAATGTTACAAATTCCTGAGAAGGGAGAAAGTAAGTATTTCTAACAGTGCTACAGGCACTGAGGAATTGCACTGTGGTTCTACTAATTGAAAAAAATCTGTGTTTTCTGTACTAAATTAATGAGTTTAGAACTTGGATCAAATAACTAAAATGATAGTGATTGCACTTGCTATCAACTTTTATTAAGGAGTTGTGAGTGCCGAAGTTAGGACACTGATTCTAATCTTTCTCATCTAGCTTTGCTTTCATATACATAGAAAATCAGTGGTGCATTTAGGCAAATGGATAAATTTAGTTGAAAAAGAAGAGACATTTTGAGATAATTGCAGCTCCCTCCCTCCCATTTCAACAGAGCTGGTAATGGCTGAAGGAAACAAAGCAGGGAACAAATGAGCTGTCTTATCATCCTGATGCTTTCTTTTTTTTCATAGGAATATACATCATTTCTTCCCTTTTAACAAACTGGCCTGTCATACAAGTAGAAGATTCAGGAAATTTTTSTTCTCTTGCTTAAAGTACTTGCAGTGTTATTAATGTCACAGTTGTTTTTTCCAGTTTTCATTCTGAATCTCTTGCCGTGATCTCATTAGCTTTCTTTGACTTACTTGAAAACAAGCAATTCAAATGCTTTGTGAGAGACACCTCAAGATAAAAACTGCATTAGTCAGATGAATCACAAACGTCTCTTGCCTTGGCAGAACTCTCAGTTGTAGCTTTGGTGCCTGTGAATCATTACGAGTCCCTGCAACAAGTCAAAAGAAAGGGAGAAACCCGTGTAAGTAAGAGATGTGCCAGTGGCAGCATTTGGTATTTCTGAATGGTAGATGGATTGCTTCATGGAGGAGCAGGTGGAAGCACTTGATGTAAAAGTTCCTCAAATATTTTTTCTCATTCTAAAGCAATAATGATCTGTATCTATAAAATAAACCCTTTCCCTCTAAGTTTCCAGCATTTCTTTCTCATTTCCTAGCATCTGCTGTTTTGTTTATTTAGACACCAAACACTTGGGGCTGCTTGTCAAGACTGTAAATTGTCAAAAACGCTTCTCAATTCTGAGATGCTCTCCACAGCAGACTCAGTTCCATGTGTTGCTTGTTTGGTTACACAAGGTATATTGCGTTCCYATTAATATCCCATCTGAAAATGAATATGTTAGTTCCCTATGTATTAATTTCTGCCTCTGTGTTAGTGATATTGCCCTTATATCATGCAGGGACATCAAACCAGAGTTGCTTGTGTGTGCTGCATGTAACTGCTTGCAAAGAAGGTAAATGAAAGTACAGTGCTCTCCACTCTTGATTGCCGGAGGAAAGCAGACCCTGCCTGTCACTTTTAAGCAGAGATCTGCTGCCTTTTCTAGCAAATGGATGGCTCTTTGAGGCAAGAGTGCGTCTGTTCTTCCAGGGAAAGAGGGACACGGCGGCTGTGTTAGCCAGGATGGAGCAATTCCTTCCCCGAAGGCTGGGTGCTTGTTTGCCCCCCAGCGTTCAATGACATTATCGCACTTCTCCAGAGCCTCGTAGCTGCCTTTCCTTGCGAGTCTTCCTAACCTGAGGACTCTCCCTCCCATCTTCCTTCAAGTTTCCTCGCAGAGTTGCAGTTCAGTCCCCTTGTCCTGCACCTGAACAACAAATCCCAGTTTCCTTGCGGCAATGTCCACCCCAGCTCCATGATGCCAGTGGTGACACTGATACCTGTGTGGCCCTCGGAGTCACCAGGGACACGAGTCGTGTCTGACCCTTCAGCCTGAGCGGCAGTCGTGCAGGATGGATCACAGCTAGAGCTGGGATACAGACCTGTGGAGCAGCTGCCCCTTGCTTCTTCTGCACTGGGAATTTTGTTGCTTTGATTCCCCACAAGTGAAGCAGGAGATGAGAGCAGCAGGACTGAGGAGAGGAGGTGGCATCAGCTTCTTGAGGGCCACTGGTTTTAGGTCCCTGTGTCCATTACTGTTGAATGAGAAAGAGGAAAATGGGAAGAGCGTGGGGTCTGTGCAGTGGCACAAGGGAAGGGAGAAGGTTGTGGCACTTAAAGGCTGAGAGCACTTGGCCAGGAGCTGCATGACTGGCAGGTCACCATGGAAGTGCGAACATATCCCAGATGGTTTTCAATGTTCAAATCTGAAACTTTTAAAAACAAGTATAGCCTTGCAATAGGATTTGCAACTTGTCAGATTACAGGGATTTTAGGGGCTGAAGATGCACTTGTTTCTTTGATTAATGCTGAGATTCTAAAGCAACACTTCATCCTGATAGCTAGACTTTTAAGGAATATATCCCAAAGAGTGTTAGGTTGACAGAGCATTGCAAAACCTTGCTATAAAGCAGTTGTTAAAACTGCATTTATCTCTGAGACRGTGCCTTGTCAAGCTGTTCGCACTCTGAACCATGTGTTTATAAATTCCTTTTGTTACATATGACATGGAATGACCTTATATCAAGTGTGCTCAAAATGAAAATTTTTATTCTCTACCATTAGAGATACAACCCCAGATCTGAAATTTAAACTAGATTAGTCTTCTTGTCATTACTGATGACTGGCTGTACAGTTTCTGCAGTTATTCAAAACACCGTATCCTGGGAGCTGAAGGGGATCCCTGTCCCC